CCTGATTGTCACTCTAGACTAGACCTTGCCTCTTACATAAAGCATTTGCTGAAGTACTTCCTGAGCACTTGGTCTTACAGTGCAAGCCCCTCATTCTCAGCATATTGCAACCAGACTGAGAAGTATTAAGCATCGGAGAAACTAAGGTTTTACATGTTGGTACTTGTAGCTGTAATTTATTACTTTTGTTTCTATTTCAATACCCAAGGTGTGAACATTCCATAATTTATCCATTCTACCGAATGTTGGTGAGACATTTTGGTTAGTGAATTGTCTGTTATCTGTAATGCTGCTAAGGCCATCCTTGTACCTGTCTCCTTAGAGAAAATTGTGCAGATAGGTCCCAGGATGCAAATCACTGTAAATTTAACCACTATGTTCACCATTTAACACAAGAAATAGGCTACTGCCTCAACTTAAAAGACTTAGCATATATCAGTTTTCGATCACGGTTCCCTCCTTCTCCGCCTTCACCACCCAGTTATAATAATGATACCAGTAATTGTTTTGCTCCTTTATAGTTTCATCACAAAAGTATGCCTATTTTGATTGGCATTGCATTACAGCTATAAATCATTTTGGAAAGAATTCTTTTGCCTTGGCCCTCGTTCTAACCTCGGAACCCACCTTCTGCCTTAACTCCTCCCATGTGTCTGATACATCGTGTCTGCATTGCAGAGACTGTTTCCCTGCCTCTGATACTTCCCACTGATATTGCAGAAATTAACTTTCTGGAACATTTCTGTTTAAAAGCTTTCTATGACTATGTTGCATGCATCCTGTCATGCTCCCTAACTGTAGCTTTCAGGTCTTATTTCTAGGTGCTAAGTGTTGTGGTTATCTATTGCTATGTAACAAAGTACCTCAAACCTAATGGTCATAGCAAGAACAGTCAGGAGACACATGAAGGCTTCCTCATTCATGTGTCTGGTGCGTGATGCTGGCTGTCTGCTGAGAATGTGGCCTGGACTTCCTCCCAGCAAGGCAGTGCTGGGTTCCATGGGTGAGCTTGCCGTGAGAGAGAGCTGGATAGAAGCTGTATTCCCTTTTCTAATCTCGCCCTGACAGTCCTGTAGTTTGAAGGCCATCTGTGTTGTTTTTAGTTTCTGGTAATCATGAATGTAGCTCTTAAAAATAAATAATTATCTACATTTTTATGTGAACATAAATTTTGATTTTTCTTGGGTGATTTCCTAGAAGTGGGATTGCTGGGTCAGATGTCAGGTGCCTGTTAAACCTAGTAAGATGCTGTCAACCTGTTTTCTACACTGAATGTATCATTTTGCATTCTCATCGGCCACATTTGAGAGTTGCTCTGTGTCCTTATCAGCACTTGGTATTGCCAGTTTTTTTCCTCTTTTTTAAACCATGCATCTCTGTTTGATATTTCCCTAATGCATTTTTCTTATGGCTAATAATTCTGTAGCATCCTTTCCTGTGCTTGTTTGCTATGCATACATTTTATTTAGTGAAGTGTCTGTTTAGATCTTTTGCTTATTTAAAAAAATTGGGGTGATTTTTAATTTTTGAAAGTTCTTTATGCATTTTGGATATAATTTGTTTTTCAGAAATGGAATTTGTAAATATTTTCTGTCAGAATGTGGCTTGTCTTTTCCTTAACATCTTTTGTGGATCAAAAGATTTTAATTTTGAATAAAGGCCAGTTCATCAATTTTTTTCTTTTCCTATCGTGCTCCTCGGAGACCTAAAAACTCTTAGACTAAGCCATACCTCACTCTGTTGCCCATTTCTTCTGCTTAGAACATGTGCCTCATCCCACTCCCTCATCTCTGAGGGCTCAGTAACATCTTCTTTCACAACTTACTTGTCTTGATTAGCACCCCTTTTGTATGCACCCATAGTATTTTGTATTCCCCCACATCGCTGGGGCTCGTTTCACCGTATTATAGCTGTTTTTCCTTCCTGAGCCTCCTGCTAGGCTGTGCCAGTTCATCAGTCTTACAGGGCGGTGGGTGACCATTTTCTGTGTTCATTTTTGCATCAGGCCCAGTGATTGATGCAGGACGGTTGGCATTTGTTGAACATAAGAATGGATGGAATTGCTGGATATGCTCAGGTTCTCATGCCATTGTACATGCTATTCCAAATTTCTTAAAGTACTCTGTTCCTGTCTTCCCGGCTGTTTGTTCCCCTCTGATCTTTTAAGCGGGTGAACCATTTCCCCATTTACTCCAGGCTGAATTACTTGCTGTCCTACTGTGCTCTTAGGGCTTTTTGTTTGTTTGTTTTTTCAACATTCCCCCCACTGTACAACAGATGGTTGAGTAGGGGTTTTTCTTTATCACTGGAGTGCGGAAGAAGAACAAGAGCTACACTTTTTTCATCTCTTAGCTCTCAGAACCTAATAACCTTGCCTAGTACTAAGGACTAAATAAATATTTACTGAGTATGATATGCGATTGTCTCCTTCTAGTTGTTTTTTAACATTACAAAGCCCATGCATTAACATGCTTTAGAGAAACAGGGTAGGCAAACCATGCCAATATGCTTAGTCTCCATCGTCCTCATGAATACTTTTTTCTAGAGCAAAATGTTGTTTATGTCATTTGTAGAATATTTAATTTTGTAAAATGGATTATCAATATGCATCACAGAAAAATTTAAAAACTAAGAATTTTGTTAGAAGAAATTAATGTCGCCTTGAATGCTAGCACAGTATCCTTATCACATTTGGCTATATTTCTTTCTTTTCTTAAAAAAAAGTGCTTATTTGCTAGCATTTATATCTTATTTTATGTGTAGACTTTATTACAGTTATTGATTATATCACACAAATGTACACTTTAGAATGCTGTATGTCTTAAAAACGTAACATTGTACCATAAGCATTTTTGATGTTAAGTATTGTATGTAGAGATGATGCTGTTTTACCCATTCATTCATGTAAAACCTGTTTCTATAAAATGATGTGCCTTTAAGTTCCTGAAAATGACTTCATCTATGACAAAAGCCAGTTATACTTCAAACTAGATCATGTGACAGAACAGAATACACAAGAAAGAGGTTCTGAGGTGTGGTCACTCCTTGACATTAAATCCACAAAAAAGATGAGATGAGACTGCTTTGCCATAGTTCTGAATGTTGAAATATGCAAGAGAACTCTCAGCGTGGGCTTTGGGGGCACTCTGTAATAACACGGAATTCACCCGTAGAGAAGCTACAGCCTGCAATTAGGCAGTAGGGGGAGATGCAGGGAGCTGTCGTGAGCACAGAGCCTGTGGTCAGTGGAGGGACGAAGAGAGCGAAGACTGTAAAACAACTGTTGAAAGAGTTGTTGTTCTCCTTTTTAATCTAAAACTTAAAAAAAGTCAAACTTAGGGAAAGTTAGTAAAGAGGCTTGTCAGTAGAAAACCTGGGATGTGGAAACACGTGACTGAATCTGCCTGTTTCTCTGGATTTTTTTTTTCCTGTTAACCTGTGGGAACTCATCTTTTGAAAGCGTGTCTGTTGAAACTGCACACGTGGTGCCTCAGAGCCAGGGTTCTGACTGTCGTTCTGTCCCTTTGGCCTAGTTTCACTTTATTTTCTGAGCATCTGCTCCTTCATCTATAAGATGTAAACAACAGTATCTCCTGGGGTTGTTTTGAGATTTAAATGAGCCGGTCTATGCGGAGTGCCAAGCCTAGGACCATCACCCACAGCTATGAGATAGTATTGCATCTCAGACCTCTTTCCACCTTCTGCCTTTCTTTTCTATTTCAGTAAAAATTTGAGTATCTGCCACTTGTCCCGCACTGATACGGCCTCACTAAAGCTAAAAAACTGAAGTAGACAAAGTCTTGATTTTCAAAGAACTCAACAGTTGAGGGTGGTAGGGGACTGATGCTTAAAGCAACAAACGATAAGATAAAATAAGTGCTAAATAGAAGAGGTGGGGTTGGACCAGGGGAGGACTTAAGGAGGTGAGGCTGTGTGATAGTGGCATTTAAGGACACATAGATTTTCATTACTGAACAGAGCAGTAAAAGATTACTCTGAATGTGAAATTGCACAATCATGTTAGATGAGTAACGAGTTGTCAGCTTTTTGTCTTGAGCATGGGATGAGTTGTGGGAGCTTAGGCTGCAAAATTGGAATGGAGGCAGATCTTTCATGCAGATAGCTTCACTCCATGGTCAGCGAGCTGATATGAAGCCTAAGACAAAAATGCACCTGGGCTATCTTATGGATGTAACCACTACTAGAGCTAATAAAAACATGACCAAATGGTTGCAAAATACTTGCTAAGCATTGGGAATCCATCCAGTGCCACTTACTGTCAGGGTGGGCAGTACCTTGCTTGCAATATGAACTCCTCTGACTAGAGAGTACTATATGAGATAATTCATGGTTGAAGAATTTAGGAAGGAGGCCAGGCACTGTGGCTTACACCTATAATCCCAGCACTTTGCGGGAGCCGAGGTGGGTGGATGCTTTGAACCTGAGAGTTTGAGGCCAGCCTGGGCAACATGGTGAAACCCCATCTATACAAAAATTAGCCAGGTGTAATGGCATGGGCCTGTAGTCCCAGCTACTTGGGAGGCTGAGATGGGAGAATCACCTAAGCGTGGGAAGTCAAGGCTACAGTGAGCCATGATCCAGTCACTGCACTCCACCCTGGGTGACAGAATGAGACCATGTCTCAAAAAAAGAAAAAAAAAAAAGATTTTATGAAGGAGAGGTGTAAAGAAATAGGACTTGTAATTGGTATGGAGTTAGAGGTATGATTTCTCTCAGAGCAAGGGTGTTCTTCAAGCAAATTCTGATACCAGCCTCTTTTCCTTTGGAAATAGAGTCCCTAGAGGCAATTTGCTTCAACTTTTGGGAACTTTGAAGGTCTGTCTTTGAGAACTTAGTTGTTGTCTAGTGGCCAAAATAGCACTAGATGTTTGTGAATAATAGAAATTAACAAGTGAACTTGGATGTCATGGAGTAAAAATGAAGCGTCAGCACGGTTCCTGTAAGAACACTTTCACGCACTTTGTTTTTTCTGCTTTCAGGGACCTAATACCCATCATTGCTGCTCTGGAATACAACCAGTGGTTCACAAAGCTGTCCTCCAAGGATCTAAAACTGGTAAGTAATCAAACATGCAGCAGATGTTGCTTGGCTTTGCTGAATTTCAAAACCCAATAATTGTCAAAAAAAAAAAATACCCAACACTATTTTTTTTTTTTTACTGTACTGATAAGCTGTATATATTTTATTTCTTGAGGAGATATTTTTCTTTAAATGATTTGCATAACATTTAGTAACTTTTGTAATATGAGATGCTTCCAAGTATATCCTCATGTATTCAACTGCTTCAGGCAATTTAAGAAGATGAACAAAAAAAAAAAAAAAGATAGGTTTAGTGTAGCCTTTAGTAGAAACTCAATCAGTTGACAAAAACGGTTAAAGTTACATTTGCGCAGCTGCAAATAGCAGATTTTATATTCCTGCGTTACATTCTGTCTCCACAGAGTTTCCCTTCCTAAGAATTTAGGAAAACATTAACAGGTAGATTTCCTCTGGTTGAGCAATGATAGTTAAGTTGATTTTCTAGATGGGTTTTTGGGTAGATTTATGTGAAAGCAAAATGAAATTAAAGTAAAATCTGTTAGTTTTCATAAGGTATGAAGAAGAAAGCTATTTGACCTATTTTATTAGCGGAAATAAGATGCTGTGTTTTGGTTTTTACCAGTTCATATCAGTCGTATGGACAGATGCTTATCCATAAATTTACTTTCTGGTGTTTGCTATGGGATAAGAAAGAATTTATATGTTTTCCTGGAGACTCTTATGATTAAGCCTCCAACTTTTAGAGGTCATAGAGTGTGGGGTTTAAGATTTTCATAGTGAATACATCAGACCTGGATTGAGATGTGGATGTGTAGGAGATGGAGGGTGGAAACTGGCCAGTGGGCAGGTGACTTGGTACTCTGAATTTGCCTGGGGTAGGGGTGGCTTAAAACGTTATGTGCATGAAAATGGACTGAACTCATTTGGGGTCCCTTAAGAGCCAATTTGGTAGAGGAAAATGTATGGACTTGGAATCAGAAATCTCGGTTTCAGATTCTGATTTTTATTACAAGGCTGTGTCACCTTAGATAACTTACCTGACCTTCCAGGGCCTCAGCTTCCTGCATACCTGTTACTGTGAGCTAGTTGCAACCATTTCTTATTCATCTCTAGCCAGTGCTTATCAGAGTGTGTGGCTCCTAGTAGCGATTTAATAAAAATTGGCTTAATAAGTAGATGTCTAATAAGTTATCAAAGAGGTTGAGAAATGAACAAATACGTGAGTATGAATTATGTGAACTATATTACTCAAACAAGAGTTGTGTCTGAGCAGTCATGATGGAGTGACGATTGGCATGAGTGGGGACCAGGTGAGCCCTCTGGGAGCAGGCAGGTAGCTGTCTAAGAATAGAAGTCCCTTGTTTGCTGCTTGCTGGAATGAGGCCATTTCCAGGACTGAGTCAGCAAAGAGTACAGTTGGGAAAGGGGAGCCATTGGAGGAACGAGAAGGAGATTAGTCCAGGGATTGTGGTATCAGAGAGAACAGTGGTTTGCTACCATGTCAATTTTTCTGGCTCATTCGAACAGTCACATAAGCTTTTGAGTTTCAAAATGGGGTCTCAAGAAGGTTGTGGATATCTCAGTTTTGGAGATTGTCCCAACCTGCAATTACAGGAAGGTGTCCAGGCGGTTGCTGTTGCCGTTCTGTCTTTTTTTCTCCTGGGTACCATCTCCTTTCAACTGCCTTAGCTGTTTAGGACATAAGATATGCACCTAAACATTTCAGTCCTGGCAGAACAAAGCATGTAAGTGCTTGTATGCTTTCTTGGTAGTCCTGGGATGGAAGGAAGTGGAGTGACAGGATTTGAGGACTGCTCATACTGCTTTTCTGTTAACTGAGATTGAAACACAAAAATACAGTTTCCATATATTTTTAATATTTGGTATTTTAAAAGGAAAAATGATCTTTGTGGATATTACTGTACACATCTTTAGAAAGAATACTAAATTCTTTGCTTTTCACCCAAAGTTAAAAAGAAACGATGTTTTCCCTTTTGATGGGTACTGAAGTGGGCAGTCTCAGAGCACTATCTAACACTGGGTTCATTCAAAGGAAAGGACAGTGTGAAAAAGCACGTCTTCGGATTTTGGTAAACATGAAGTGCATGGCAAAAAATAAGTGAGTGCTTCTCAAGTTATATTAGCTCTTTGGGTTAAGATTGTTCCTAGCCCGATGAAAGCCTCCTTTGCCAAGGTGCGGAGAAAAAAATGACTGGATGTCCATCTTTATGAAGCAACTATTAGCAGTCACTATTTCTAATTTGAATAAAAGATTAAAAAAAAAACAAAAGATGGTACCGAATATGCAATTAAGACCATGTTTTTGGCCAACATTCTTGATTCATTAAAAAAGCAGTAGAATTGGGATCTTGCTCAGCTTCTGCTTTGCAACGCAGGCAAATTGGCAAGTATCGTCGCATATTTTTTTAGTCTTTAGGGAATGACATGGTGGTACCAGGTAATGTAAATGGTTTCTTTCAGTTCTAAAGTTCCATGTTAAAAAAATTTTTTATTGTAGTTTGCACTAGTTCATTTATTACTCTATAGTGATTCTAGTTTTTGTTGTTTACATTCAATTTTTAACTGAATACAAGCTCTTGGAGAGCTATTGTATCTAGTTTTTAAAAAATTTCCTGAATCCGTGCACGTGGTGCTGCACATGCTGTAGACGTTTGGAAAATGTTGTTGGAATTATCACATACCTAGTAGCGAGGTTTGAGTGTGTCTCCCTTTAAAAGTTTCATTTCAGGCCGAGCGTGGTGGCTCACACCTGTAATCCCAGCACTTTGGGAGGTCCAGGCGGGTGGATCACGAGGTCAAGAGATCGAGACCATCCTGGTCAACATGATGAAACCCCATCTCTACTAAAAATACAAAAAATCAGCTGGGCATGGTGGCGCGTGCCTGTAGTCCCAGCGACTCAGGAGGCTGAGGCAGGATCATTGCCTGAACCCAGGAGGCAGAGGTTGCGGTGAGCCGAGATCGCGCCATTGCCCTCCAGCCTGGGTAAAAAGAGCGGCACTCCCTCCCAAAAAAAAAAAAAAAAAAAAAAAGTTTCATTTTCATGTATTCATCCCTGTAGAAAATGATGCTTTCAGGGTAATTGGTACTCCATAAAAATTAGTAGAATTACTTTAATCATGAATGATTTGTTATGCGTCTCCCCTACTGGCATTTTAAATAAAAGTCGGAGACACTTTCATACATTTTCTTTAATAAATTTATATTACAGTATTTTTACCTGAATGGGCTCTAAATCTTCAAAGCATTATGGTACATTACTTTTCCGGCTGCACTGCAAGGTAGCTCAGAAATGGTAATGACCCCAAGAATTATTCTGGGTAATTAGAATAATCTCTGCAAAAACATTATCTAAGTTATCACTTTTTATCATGACAACACAGAATAAGTTGCATTCCCTTATATGTATATTGTGAGATAAAGAATTATACTGATAAGGGGGTTACCATTTTGAATATCATCACTATCAGCATAATGTAAATTGCAGGCATCGGGTCAATTGGAATTAATTTTTCTCTTTCCTCCTTATTCAGTGCAACACATTAGAAACCCAGAAATAGTGTGAAAATGGCATTATAGGCTGAATGGAATCAAACAGTAAACGAAAATTATGAGAACCTTACACGCTGTGGGACTTGGGGTGTTTCCGAGTTAGGTTTTCTTAAAAATACTTGGCTAGAGAACTTCTGCCGCATTTCAGATTCTGTTTCAATTATGGTTAATCCAGTTGGGTATTTGTGATCTAATAAGTCAAAGAAATGTAAGGAAAGAAAGTGCTTTGATATTATATGCTGTAGCACACAGAACATGCCTTCTTTCTCTCACTCTTTTTTTTTTTTTTTCCCAATATCCTGAAGTATTTAGTACACCCTAGGTTGCAAGGAAAATGTTTAAGTCACTTTGTATGTGTGTGTTTGTGTGTGCATGTGTGTGCGTGAGCATGTGAAACAGGGTCTCACTCTGTTGCCCAGGCTGGAATGCAGTGGTGTGATGATAGCTCACTGCAGCCTTGACCTCTTAGGCTCAAGTGATCCTCCCACCTCAGCCTCCTGAATAGCTGTGACTAGACATGAGCCACTACCCCACCCTGCTACTTTTTGTATACTTTGTAGAGATGGAATTTCACTATGTTGCCAAGGCTGGTCTTGAACTCCGAAGCTCAAGCAGTCTGCCTTCCTCAGTTTCCCAAAGTTCTGGGATTATAGGCACGAGCCACTGGACCTGGCCTAAAATCAGTTTTTAATGTATAAGTAATATTAAGTTTAAGAACTACTTTAAATTAGTTTTTGAATGAAGCAGGTTACAAATAAATAGAAAAGCATTAATATTTTAAAGAAAAAAAATATGCACAATTCTACCACCAGCGAACAACTGTTTTTTCATCATTCCCTCAAATTTTTGTTCTGTTTTATTCGTTTTAATTGCAATCTTGTTTAACATAGAGGCATAATAGTTATATAATTACCTAATGTTTTTCTGAAAACATAATGTTTATTAACATGAGACAGTTATTTATTAAACTCTTTCCTATCATTAGGTCATTTCCCACTTTATCCTGTTTATGTTCCAGCAGGAACATCCCAGTACCAGCTAGCGTTCATCAATCACTTATTGAGCCTTCCTATGGAAGTTCATGACATCTTTAATTTTTTTTTTTTTTTTTTTTTTTTTAAGACAGGGTTTCACCATGTTGGTCAGGCTGGTCTTGAACGCCCGACCTCAGGTGATCCGCCCGCCTTGGCCTCCAGAGTGCTTGGATTACAGGCATGAGCCACCATACCCAGCGACCTCTTTAAATCTTAATTTTCTTATCTATGAAAGTGGAATACAAATCTTTAATGGTTTTACAATGAAGTACACATAGAGGGCTTAACTCAGTGCCTAGCACATGGTGAGAACTCAGCAAAGTTGTTTTCATCATTAGCATCATCACTAACACCTGATCTTCAGTTCTGTGTTTTGAATGTCACTTTCTTTGAGAAGTCCTCTTAGTTTCATGAGCCTGGATTAGGTGCACGTCTGTGTATGCATAGCACTACCAAAATGGCCTTTTTATTATTTTATTATAATTGTGTATTTTTATCCTATTTCGTTCAGGCTACTATTACAAAATGCTATAGTTGGGTAGCTTATAAACAACAGGTTTATTTCCCACAGTCCTGGAGGCAGAGAAGTCCAAGATCAAGGCTCCAGCAGATGTGGTGTCTGGTGAGGGCACTCTTTCTTGTTCACAGGTGGTGTCTTTTAGCTGTGTCTTTACTTGGTGGAAGGGGCAAGATAGCTCTGGGGCCTCTTTTACAAAAGCACTGATTTCTTCATGAGGGCTCTACCATCGTGACCTAGTCAGTTCCCCAAGGTACTAATTGCTGAAACGATCACATTGGGGATTAGGTTTTTAACTCTGAATTTTGGCAGATGGGGGAGCACAAATTCTGACCATAGCATTCTTCTTGCCTGTTTCCACTGCTGGTTGGCACACTCCTGAAGGCAGGGACTTTCTCCTTGATATCATTGTATTGCCAGGGTCTTCATCACGGTGGTGCATAGTAGTTGATGTTCTTTCAAGGTTGATTGAATGAGTGAATGTTTCACTTAATTAAAACTTTGCATTGCATGGATTTATAACAATAAAGTTTTTCTTCTTTAGAGCTATGGAATAGTCAAACAATGTTTTCTGTTACAGTCCACTGATGTCTGTGAACAGATCTTGAGGGTGGTGAGTAGGTCCAATCGACTGGAAGAATTGGTGTTGGAAAATGCTGGACTTAGAACGTGAGTATTTTGCTGAATCTGTGAATCTGTTGCTTTAAAATCCTGTGCCATTTGCTCTTCTAAGTAATTCATAGTTTTGTTTGTTTTTAAGTTGGGCAGATCACATATAGAGCAATATTTTTCCTTCTGGGAAAAAAAAATTCCTATGATTTTTATCATCATGAAGGCTAAGAATTTGGTAACATCTCTTGATACTGTATCACTTGATTTTTAAATTTATTTATTTATTTTTTTTTTTGAGACTGAGTCTCACTCTGTTGCCAGGCTGGAGCACAGTGACACAATCTTGGCTCACTGCAACCTCCGCCTTCCGTGTTCAAGCGATTCTCATGCCTCAGCCTCCCAAGTAGCTGGGACTACAGGCGTTCGCCACCATGCCCGGCTAATTTTTGTATTTTTAGTAGAGATGGGGTTTCACCATGTTGGTCAGGGTGGTCTCCATTTCCTGACCTTGTGATCCACCTACCTCAGCCTCCCAAAGTACTGGGATTACAGGCGTGAGCCAATGTGCCCGGCCATGTGCAGGTTTTTTTTGGTCTGTTTTTTGTTTTTTAAAGACGGAGTCTCTGTCACCTAGACTGGAGTGAAGTGGTGTGATCTAGGCTCACTGCAACCTCCAGCTCCTGAGTTCAGGCGATTCTCCTAGCTCAGCCTCTCAAGTAGCTGGGATTACAGGCATGCACCACCACACCCGGCTAATTTTTGTGTTTTTAATAGAGACAGGATTTCACTATGTTGGCCAGGCTGATCTCGAACTCCTGAGCTCAGTGATCTGCCCACCTCGGCCTCCCGAAGTACTGGGATTACAGATATAAGCTACTGCATCTGGCTCACTTGATATTTTTGAGAGCACATAGTGTAGTTGTGAAGAGCATGGATTCTTGAGCCAAATGCCTCGTGGTCTTGCACAAGTTGTTTAAGCTTTCTGTGCCTTTGTCTCTTCAGTTTTAAAATGGAGATAATAGTAGTGCCTCCTCTGTAGAATTAAAATTGTGAGGGGAAATGAATTAATGTATTGAAAGTACTTGGCAAAGTGCCTTTACTCTGTCGTTGGTATATGCGGGTTTTATTGTTATTACTGGTGGACATAGTGATAACATATTTCATATGACTTTACTGCTTTGCTCTCCTCGGTTTTAGTCATTTTTCTCCCTTTTCAGGTTAACACTTGCATAGTCTTTGTCTAATGGTTTCGTAGTCGCTACCTAAGCCTACTGGTAAGGGCATAATAGAATCTAGTAGAATAAAGGTTTTACTGCTGCAAAGTGAGGAGGGTTGACAGTTTCATAATCATAGCACTTATACATTATTTCAAGTTAAACATAACTAAAACCATGGTTTTAATTTTTCCAAAATGTAGTGCTAGCAGTTGTAACCTTTAAACTCAGTAATGAGTGTAATCAGTTTTGCGTTCACAGTTGCATGAAATGAGGAATAAGATACAGTGAATACTATAATTTTCATGAAAAGCAGGTTCAATCCAGGATTTTTTTTTTTAATTATGGAGGGTCCAGAAAGTACCGTTATAGCATGCAACAGAGTGTCTTTAAAGGGGCAATTGTATATTTTCTTTTTGCTTTTGGCTAATCAAAATGAGCCAAATTCTGGCTGTGACTTTACAAACTCTCTAATGAGGTGTTAATGGGTATTAACAAATATATGATATACAGACTAATATTGTAAGGGAGGTTTCTCTATTTAGATTTCACTCTGTTCTAAGCTTTAAGTGTTCCATTTGAATGGTTTTACATTTTGTGTTATTTAATCTTTTTTTTTTTTTTTTTTTTTACATGCAGAGACTTTGCACAAAAACTGGCCAGTGCTCTAGCGCATAACCCCAACTCAGGACTCCACACGATTAACCTTGCTGGCAACCCCCTGGAGGACAGAGGTACTGCAGACTTCTCATTATCATTGATGCCAGAATTGTAAGAGGATTAGAGGGTTTTAATTTAGCCATGCCTGAAGAGTAGTCTCAAGCTAAGTGGTAATGATAAGTGCTGTTGATGTTTCTTCTGGCTTCCAGTTCTTTCCACCCTTTCTTATAAATACTTATGTTAAAATTGTATGATCTGCTTAACCTTTTTTGAAGTGAAACAAAAGGACAAGAAAATATTATTTTGTATATATTTTATTAGTTATATATTCCTGCATAACAAATTGCCACATACTCAGCAGCTTAAAATGATACAAATTTATTCTCTCATAGTGTCCTTGGCTCAGGAATCTGCGTTCAGGTTAGCTGGGCTCTTCGCCCTGGGTCTCTCTCTCAAGGCAAAGCAAGTTGTCAGCAGGGGCTGTGCTCTCATCTGTGACCTGGGGTTCCCTTAAGTTTACTGGTTGTTGGTGGAATTAATTTCCCTGGAGCTATAGGCTCAAGGCCCCCAATTTCTTGCTAGCTGCCAGTGGGTACCATTCCCAGCTCCTGGAGGCTGTGCTTCTAGAAGGGTCCTTGCCATGTGACTCCCTTATCTCACAACATAGCAGTTTGCTTTGTATCTGAGGCCAGCTGGAGCACATCTCTCTGATGCTTTAGTGTCTTTTAAACAGTTCACCTGACTAGATCAGGCTCACCCATGACAATTTCCCTGTTTTTCATGAACTCAGAGTCAAGTGATTAGTAACCTAATCATGGCAGGGCTATCCCATTACTGTTGACCCTTGAACAACACAGGAGTGAGGGGCACTGACCCCAAGCAATCAAAAATCCACATGTAATTTTTGACTCCCTCAAAACTTAATTTACTAATAGCATTGTTGACTGGAAGCCTTGCCAATAACCAGTTGACTAACAGGTATTTTGTATGTTATATGTATCTATCATATGTTGTATTCTTAAAGTAAGCTAAAGAAAATAAAATTTTATTAAGAAAACCATAAGAAAGAGAAAAAAATATATCGTATGCATTAAGTGGAAGTAGATCATCATAAAGGTCTTTATCTTGGTCATCTTCACATTGACTAGGCTGAGGAGGAGGAGGAGGAAGGAAAGGAGGCCTTAATGCTCTCTCAGCATTGGCAGAGGCGGAGAAACATCTACACAGAAGTGGACCAGTGCAGTTGCAACCTGCGTTGTTCAAGAGTCAACAGTATATTTACTGCTCCCCACCCCCATGTTCAAGGAAATTACACAGGGCGGATATACCAGGGGCTGAGAATCTTGGGGACTATCTCAGAATTCTCTGTACCACTATTATATTTTAATATTTAACAGGATTTGAGTGTTAGAATAGGGAGAGGATGGAGGACTAGAGTTCACGAAGAGTCAGAAAGTTTTATTAAAAGTGTTTGGGTAGAGAGAGGAGTCAGTAGGTTTAGAAAGGGAAACTCGAAAATTTGAATTCTTAGTAGAACATTGATGGGCAAGGTTTAGGAACGAATTGGTTTATCTCTGGTGGGACTATTTTGTTTTCATTTTCTGTTGCAAACATTTTCCAGGTTTATTGAATAAGGCCTTTCACCTTTCAGTGTTATACTTGATGAGCATTAATTATTAAACTGAGCTGAAGATACTGATACAGATGTTCAGGTTTTCTTTTTGTCTTTAATGTGGTCATTATTCCGGGCTGAAAAAGATAGCTAAGTTGTATTCAAGCAAAAATCTCCAGGGTAACTTGTCACCATGTAAAGAAGTGAATCTACAGGAAGGTTGAGACTCAGTTAGAAAACTAGATCACACAAAAAACACCCTTATTTAATAAGCCAAAGCCGAAATTAATGGATGAATAGTAGTTTCTTTAAGGTATACTCAATTGTTAGGAAAAACAAATGTTCTCTATTAGTCAGATACTACAGAGAGGTGAATGTGACAAAGAAGAAATGATGGCGATCACAGTATTATAGACAGGAGGGCTATTTTGGTTTTGTGTTTTAAGATGGGAGAGAATCGATCATATTTACTGACTGACTGGAGGAATCTCTGTAGCGGGACGTAGTTGTTTGAGGAAGGTTCTTAAGCAAATGAAATCCAAAGGTCAGATGGACCAGGAAGGGGACACTTCTCTGTGTTTAGGGAAATGCAAATTAAAACCACAGTGAGGTACCATTTCATAAGCAGGAGTGTGGCAATAATCAAAATAAGTCTTGAAAAGGGTGTGAGGAAATGGCAACTCCCACGTTGCTGGTGAGAGTGTTAAATGGTTCAGCCACCTGCAAAACCAGTTAGACAGTTTCTTAAAAAGTTAAACCTACCGCATAACCTAGCAATTCCACTCCCGGGTATATCACCCAAGAGAAAGGAGACTTATACCCACACAGAGACTTTTATCCACAAATGAGACTTACATCCAACTAATTTGTTGCAGTACTTGTTCTAACAGGCAAAAAGTAGAAACAACCCAAATGTTGGTCAGTGGAGAGTGGTTCCGTTCATAAATGTGGTATAGATAATATGTACACTGGAATACTACTCAAAAGAGAATGGAGTTCTAACTCATGTGTCCACACGGATAAATCTCAGAAACACTGTTATGCGAAAGATACCCCACCTAAAAGACCACACGTTGTTTGGGGGTGGGAAGGGGAAGAAGGAATTGGAGGCCCCTTGTTTTCTGTCTCGTTGTTTACTTCGTGTTCTCTGAGGTGTAGCCGCGTTGGACTCCTTGTCACCGCAGGTGCAGTTTCTCCTGTCTTGCCCTCACTTTGGAGCTCCTGTGCAAGCTTCCATACAGCACTAACTTCCTTCCGCTCACATGGCAACTAGAGGTGGACGTTCCTTCCCCCACGCTTCGGCGGCTTGCTTCCTCTCATCCTCACTCCCTGGCTTTCTGTCTCCCCTTCCCTCTTTCCTAAGATGCACAGCATCTAATGTTAGACTTTGTCCACAATCCAAAAGTATTTTCTTTAAATTGAATTTGCTTTTATTTAATCTTAATTCTCTTGTATAGTTTTGTTATTTGCACTTGAAAGTTATGGTAAAGTTTATCGAGATTCCTTTCGTGTCCGGTCAGACCATGTGTTCAAAGATGGTGTTTGCCTGCTTTTTCCCTCTGCTTTCCTGCTTCTGAGACCTGACTTTGTGTCTTTTCATGTAGCTGCAGCCCATTTACCGGCATTGTCATCAGGAGTCACTCCAAGGATAGCCTTGAATGCTCCTGCCAGCTCTCCAGTGTGGTTTCTGCTCACATACCCTCAAATTTTGACATCCTGAAAATATGTTCACAGGCCAACACTTCTCATTTCTGCCCCTTGTACATTCATTCATTGCTGTGTTTGCCAGTGCCTACAGACAACTGCCAGCATTTGTACCTCCCAGCTTTCTTTACTCTTTGGGATAAGCCTCCTGAACACAACTTCTTTATTGTTTTTTTTTTTCATTCAGGCTAAATACCTAAAGATGATTGGTAGCTTTTCTGCTCATGGATGGAAATTCCAGAAGAAATCTAATTGAGTGTAAAATATTTATTGAAATTTCAGTCTCGAGAAAACTTTTAGTAATTTTTGTTCCCGAGCTTTTCAGTGATGGTATTTTGCGTTTGAAACTAATACAAAGGGTAAAGAAGGCGTCTGTAATTGAGTTAGACAGTATGTAAAAAGACCAAGCTGGGGACTGTTATTTGTAAGAAAGCTCCAAGAAATTCAAGGGGCCGGGTGCAGAGGCTCACACCTGTAATCCCAGCTTTTTGGGAGGCTGAGAAGGGCGAATCACCTGAGGTCAGGAGATTGAGACCATCCTGGCCAATATGGTGAAACCCCATCTCTACTAAAAATACAAAAATTAGCTGGGCATGGTGGCACGTGCCTGTAATTCCAGCTACTCGGAAGAATGAGGCAGGAGAACTGCTTGAACTGGGGAGTCAGAGGTCGCAGTGAGCCAAGATCCTGCCACTGCACTTCAGCCTGGGTGACAGAGACTCCACCTAAAAAAAAAAAGAGGGAAGGGAGATAAGATCTTAACAGTTAAGTGGCCAAGAATTCTGAGGAATTTAAACAGCAAATGGAATGTGGTTTTGTACCTAAACCTTAGGCTCAGGGACATATTTGGACACTTTGAAAGAGTTTATGATATGAATGTTGATGCAAGAAATCTCTTATTTTCACATCTGTGTAGCGGACAGGCCTGCAGCCTTCTGACTGTTGAGGGGCTTGTGGTAAAGGAGGCTGGAGTATGACTTAGTAAGCAGAGGTATAATGTGAGCGATGCTTCAAATGCTGGATGCCCTCCTGCTCTCCTTCTGCAGGAGCCACACAAGATGAACAGACCACACACGTGCACAAGCTGGCTTATCCTCGTTGCAAAGCCATGTCTGTTCACCAGCTTGCTCTTGGTCTTCATCTGACACACTGTTTTTCAGGCTGTGGGTCACGACCCGTTAGCTGACCATGAAGTCAGTTTGGTATTCATGACAAGCATTGTTTTTTTAAAGCAGTGGAATAGAAAACGTCAGAGTGCATTGTTTAGGGGAAAGTTTGGTTTTAGTTTTCTAATACTAATAAAAGTGTGTACATTTATGCTTTACCCCTCTAAGCATTACAGATTCTATGTTCTGTTCTTCCTAGTCATCCGTCCCAATTACCTTAGTTTTTATGATTTCAGTCTTTTCAGAAATGTCTGTCCTCATTTCATCTCCTCGAATTTTTTGTTTGTTTTTTGAGAGAACGTCTCTCTCTGTTGCCCAGACTGGAGTATAGTGGTGCAGTAACGGCTCACTGCAACCTCCATTTCCTGGGCTCAAGCCATCCTCCCCCCTCAGCCTCCCAAGTAGCTGGATCACAGGTGTGCACTACCACACCTGGCTAAGTTTTAAATTTCTTTTATAGTGACATGGTTGTACTTCGTTCCCAGGCTCCTCCCATCACTTTATTTCAGATTTGATTATTTCATTGACAGACCATTTAGAATCCCAGCTCTAGTGCTTTTTGTTGACCTGAAATATGCTGATATTTTTTCCCAGCTCTTTGGTGGTGGCTCTCATTTGATCTTCTAAGTAAGACGAGAGATATAGATTCTAGGATTGCTGCTTACTTTTCTTTGTGTTTTATATCTTTCATGTCTCTCAGTGTATATTAGTGAGTTCTGGAGTCAAAATACATGGGTTTAATTCCATCCGGACTTCACAGCTTTCTAGCTAAGTGACCTTGGGCAAATTACCGCCTCCTCTATACTTTAGCTTCTTTATCTTAAAAACAGTTAGTAATAGTACCTACCAAGTAAGAATATTCTAAAGATTAAGTGAGATAATTGATATTTTTGTGGTTAAACAGGTAAAGTAATATTTTTAAATGGCATAGATTTAGATGTTAGGACATTCAAAGGTCAGATGTGTTGACTCAATTTTTTCCAGTAGCCCTATATTCTTTTTATTTATTTATTTATTTATTGACATGGAGTTTCACTCTTGTTGCCCAGGCTGGAGTGCAATGGGGGCGATCTTGGCTCGTCTCCTGGGTTCAAACGATTCTCCTGTCTCAGCCTCCTGAGTAGCTGGGATTACAGGCATCCACCGCCACGCCCGGCTAATTTTCTATTTTTTAGTAGAGACAGGGTTTCTCCATGTTGGCCAGGCTGGTCTCAAACTCCCAACCTCAGGCGATCCACCCACCTCAGCCTCCCACAGTGCTGGGATTACAGACATGAGTCATGGCGCCCAGCCTCCCTGCATTGTTATCTTCTTGATTCCAAGTCTTTTTCTCTTGGCCTTATTTTTGAAATGGAAATACTTCTTTTGCTTTTCTTCATGGGGAGATTTTTTAGTAATAAATTTGTTTCCTTAGATAGATAGCAAACTACTGAGATTATTTACTTCTCCTTAAATTAGTTTTGGTCTATCATGTTTTTTTATAAGGGATTTGTTTCTTTCTATTAAAATGATAGTTTTTTGACTTACCGACTTGTTTATACCCTCCAATTTAATACAGTGCCTGTAGGATCTTTACAAAGATAAAGATCCTGTTTTCATTTGATTTTGACATTTTGATCTCTCTCTCTCCCTCTCATTTATTTATTTTACCTGTCTTCCTGGAGTTTACTGATTTTGTTAGTATTTTTAAAGAACCAACTTTGTTAAAATTTACTTATTTTTACAGCTGCTATTTATTTAATTGAATTCTTCTCTTTATTTTTTTCCTTCCTTCTGTTTACAGAGGTGAGAGAGGATTAATTTGCTATTTTTGGAGCTGGATACTTAGGTAATTATTTTCCAGTTTTTCATCTTTTTAAAAATTTTTTTCCAGTAGTATTGATTTCTCTCCAGGTGTGGCTCTAGTTAGAGCCTCAAATTTTTAATACTATAGTTTTTAGTTTTAACTCAAAATAAAAATATTTTTAAAATTCCCATTGTGGTTTTTTTTTTTTTTTTTTTTTTCTTGAACTCTTGCTATTTAGAAATACATGGCTTAAGTTATTTGGTGATTTTCTAATTATCTTACTGCTATAATTTCTGTTTGAACTGTTGTAGTGGTAGCAGAGAACATACTGATACTCTGTGTATGAATTCATAGTACTAAGGAACATTTTATTATTTGTTGAGACTTGCTTTATGGCTCAGTATATGATCCCTTTTGGAAAATATTCAGTGTACGCTTTGAAGAAATGTATTTTGTAGTTACTGGGTAGAGCGTTTTAAATATATCAATCATTTATTTTTTCATTATGCTCTTGATATTCTCTGTATCTTTATTAACTTTTTCTGTTCATTTCTTAGCTACTAATAGAAGTGTGTTAGAAAACTTCCGTCAGTATATTTGTGTGTGTATTTGTGTAATATATGTATTTTCCTTTTGTTACTGTGAGATTTACTTTATTTTCAGATGATGTTAATCAGAACATAGATTTAGAGTAATTGTATCTTGTTAATGAAATCTTCCCTTTATCTTTAGTTATGTTCTAAAATTTAAATTGTCTTATTGCAGCTACATCAGATGTCTTTTACTTAGTATTTGTAGCATATCTTTTTTCATGTTTTTATGTTCACTTCTGAATACATATATCTATAGGGGAATCTCTTGAAAACATTTGATATTTTTATTCAAATAAACCATCTTTGACTCGTATTTGAGTCTATATATTTTTTAAATGATATAAATAAGTTTTAATTAAATATTCATATTTAATAGATGTATATTTAATGTAATCATTGAAATATTTGGGTTGAAATCTGTATTTCTCTTTGTTTCCATTTTTTTCTTTGTCCCTTTTTCCCTCTCTTTTTTGCCTTTTGGATTAAGTTTGAACAGTTTTTCGATCTTCCTACCTCCTGCCATCAACTTGTTAGTAACTTTTTTTTTTTTTTTACTAGACTATATCAGCTAAATATCAAGGCTACCTTTTCTTGTAATTTACAAAATGGATTAGCATAGTCAAGTCCCTGGAAAGACTCAAATAAAAACCTGTTTAACATGATTGAATCCAGTGATTTTCAAACTTCTTTGACTGTGGAAAGACACTGGGGAAATAGAGGCTCCCAGAACACCCACTATTCTTGGGAGACACCCACATAGAGGCTTAGTCAAGCTGCATGACTTCCATGTTGTTTCTTCCAAGTTGTGATTAGATTTGTTGATAATTTGGGTTATATAATAGGGCAGCAACCAGGGCAGTAATTTCTTATTGCTCACTGAAGCTTGAGAATTAGTCTAAGGGAACAGAAATTAATATTGTTTAAGGAGCCTTCTCAAGAACATGCCCCTGGGGAAATGTTGGCTAGTCTACAGCAGGAGGTCAGTTGAAGGACCTGTATGAAGGGCATACTTTTGTGTATTATTTCCTCCCAAAAAACAGTCTGTGCTCATTGCAGTCCTTGGGTGAGTGAGCTAGTGTTCCCAATCTCCCACTCTGGCCATTAAATTTAGAAGATACCAGATTTTAAATACTGTAACATCCTGGTGACTTATACAAAGTTAAAAAATCTAACTTTAAGAAGTTAAAACATGCTCTGTAGCTCTGTATGAGGTTGTTAGCTGTAAGCCAATTAAGTATAGGAATCCATCTACCATTATCAGAATAGTTAATATACTCTATTCTTCTTGACAATAATTAAATAGCATACATCTGCTCATCTAGAAGAGAGATCAACTCATTAAGACAGAGGTTAAAAAGAAAAGGGGTTAACAATTATCCTTTCCAAGAGGATTTGCATTTTAAATAGAACTATGAGAAAAAAGAGTGACACTTGGCTCCAAGAAAAATATCTCCAATGGAAAAGTTTCAGATATTATATGTTTAATAAAACAATCTTCGCCTTCTCTTACCCTGTAGGTAGGACAGAAAGAAAAGGGGTTTTTGTGGTAAATGGTTAGAAAACAGAGTCTGATGTTAGAAGGAAAAATATGATATCTTCAGTCAGAATCAAAATTAAGTTTTCATGCATTGTAAAAAATGCAGTTCTGAGAACCTGAAGATTCTAATAAGCTCTTTTTTTTTGCTTTCTCAGGTGTGTCCTCTTTAAGTATTCAATTTGCCAAACTCCCAAAGGGATTAAAGCATTTAAATTTATCTAAAACCTCATTATCACCTAAAGGTACAGTATTTCTTATTTACCTAACAGTGTTTCTGAAATATTTCTGCTGCACCTTCTACCTTAGTTAGAATTATTTGTTCTGTACTTACATTTAAAAATACATGCATTGCATTACTCTAGCATTGCTCTGGCAGATGAAGACGTTATGTAATTCAGTTTCTCATGCTCTGAAGTGCAGTGCTTTCAGGGGAGAGAATAATTTTGATATGTACATCTGGTCAGGGAGCACTCCCCTGGCTGCCTCTACCCTCCTGCCTCACATTTCTAGGTGCACCTGGTTGTGTTTCTCTTGGTTTTACAAGTTGGCCTTTCTAACTGTCAGAGAGACTGTCTGCTCTACAGAAAACTGTTGGCCTAACTGCGGGGCACCACTCCTTCTATCTCTGTCTTTATACATTTCCTTATCTTCTCCCCAGATCAATTCCTAACCTCACTCACCTTCATTTTTTCCACTTACGCATCAAATCCTGTTGATTCTATTATAATTCTGCCACGCAGCACCTCAGTGATCGTATTAGAAATTACCCTGTATTCATTGTACTTTGTACGTCGCCACAGTTTCCCTGCATGCCTGAAAAACAATTTATCCCCGAATATTCTCTTGAACTCCCGACTTCAGGTGATGCGCCCGCCTTGGCCTCCAAAGTGCTTGGATTACAGGCCTGAGCCACCAGGCCCGGCCTTTATCCCCGAATATTCTCACAGAGCTTCAGTTTGTTCTGGTAAAACTGTGTATCTGTGATAAACTCTGCTGTGTTCCCTGTTGCCAAGACCACAACAGAATCAATGACCCTTCCCTTTGTATTACTTCAAGATCACGTATGTAACATTATTGTATAAATATTCTGTGTTTCTTGCTACACTGGGGCTCTTGTGGCCTGTGCTTCTATCATCTTTCTATCTGCAGCACCTGGCACCTGCCTGCACTACCATTTAACAAAAGTTTCTTGAACCTCTTGCCATTTCTTAAGAAAGTCACTGTGTTTTGGAAGCTGCCCGCGTAGTGGTTGGGAGTGTCAGTTCTGTAGTCAGATCGCCTAAGGTTGAATGCTGACCTTATTTATCAACATGCTTTTGTTCCCAGGTGCCTCGTTTATAGGACAGAAATAGCAGTATCTTATTTCTGCACAGGTAGTTAGGGTTAAATGATTTAATATATATGCAGTATGGTTTCTGTCACAAAGTGCCTAATAAATGCTAGCAGCCACTGTCACGTCACCCCCACCCGCACCAGCACCACTGCCATCACCATCATCATTAGCATCATCCGAGCTGTCTTATGTCTTTCTATGCCTCAGTTTCTACCTGGAGCATCCTTAGTGTCTGCACCTGGAATGTCTGCTGGATTACTGTGCATCCTATGAGATTCAACTTCTAGTTCTCTCTTTTTTTGGGGGGGGACAGGGTCTCACTTTGTCACTCAGACTGGAGTACAGTGGTACAGCCTTGGCTCCGTGCAGCTTCTACCTCTTGGGCTCAAGCGATCCTCCTGCCTCAGCCCCCAAGTAGCTGGGACCACAGGCGTGCGCCACCACAACTAGTTAATTTTTGTATTTTTTTGTAGAGACAGGGTTTCGCTAATGTTCCTGGACTGATCTTGAGCTCCTGAGCTCAAGCGATCTGCCTGCCTCAGCCTCCCAAAGTGCTAGGATTACAGGCATGAGCCACTACACCCAGCCGTTTCTGTCTTACTGGCTCTTTGAAGCCTTCTCAAACAACCCACCTCACCATATCTTGAATAACTAGATGCTCCTTTCTCTGTGCTCCATAGCTCTTTGTAAATTCCTCTTAATGTGGGTCCATTGCATTTGATTGTCCCTTAGCCTGTACATCTCTGGACAGTAAGGGCTTCGCCTTGTTCATTGCTGTGTCCTGGCACTTCTTAGTGTTTCACTGAATGTGCCTTGGATAAATGAATGAAGCAAAGTCCTTGATGATTGTATATCCATGCCATCATACATTATTCTGGATATGCAGTTAAATTAAGAATGGTTTGAAATTGGAATTAGTTCCATAAGTCCCATGATTTTATGTGCACACATTTATACACACATATTTAAGATTAACCCATGAAAATAAATTACCAAAGGGATTTCCCCAGGAGTCAGTGTTTTCAGATCTAGTGCCTGAAGCCATCTAAAGATCCTACAGTTAAGTTTAACTCCTTTACGTTATCACTGTTCCACTTCAGCAAATCCATTTTATAGAAACCCTTTTGTGATAATTACCGTTGTAGTACACATTTATGGTAAAGATTTAGAAGGTGCTAAAAAGTGTAAATTAGAAGGCAAACCCCCTCTGAATCCCCTTGTTCCTTAGTCATTTGTGTTTCTTTTAGAGAAATCACTAAGTTTATATCTTTTGTTAGTGTTCTATTTGTAGTGTTAATCTTTTAAAAAAAATTTATATGACTTCTATACATATTTAAGGCATTCTTTATTTATTGTGTGCTCCATAGGTCTAATTTAAGTCTTTTATAAGGCAGAGCTGGTTTTTAAAAGCCTGATTATATGAATTGCATCTGTAATTCTAGCCACTCAGGAGGCTGAGGTGGGAGAATGCTTGATCCCAGGAGTTTTAGGCTGCAGTGAGCTGTGACAGTGCCACTGCACTCCAGCCTGGGTGACAGAGCGAGAACCTCTTTGGCAAACAAAACAAAAAAACCTGATTTATATTAATAATCCTTGATCATATTTATTTTAATTCATTTGTTCATTACTATATAACAAACAAAAGGATGGAGTGATCATTTATCCTTTTGAGGGCAAACTTGGTTCTGAGGACCCTCAGTGCCACCTTTTCTTGATGCCCCTGTCCGTTTAGTATGGTAGCAGTGGGGAGGTCCCATGGGCACAGCCGGACTTCTCCATCCACCTCCTTATGGCAAGGACAACCCCACATTGCCTGTACCCTTTACAGATAAGGGTCCTCTCATTTATCTCTTATCTGCAATAAAATATGCTTATATTAAAATATGTGTTTTGAGAATTGGCATTGTTTTATAACATGACTTGAAATTTTTATTTTATTTTTTAATTTATCGGGTGCTTGCTCTGTTGCTCAGGCTGGAGTGCAGCTGCAGTATCTTGGCTCATTGAAATCTCTGCCTCACAGGTTCAAGCAATTCTCTTGCCTCAGCCTCCTGAGTAGCTGGGATTACAGGCTCCCCATACCACACCCAGCTAATTTTTCTATTTTTAGTAGAGAAGAGGTTTGTATTTTTAGTTGAGAGGAATTCCTCACCTCAGGTGATCCACCTGCCTCAGCCTCCCAAAGTGCCTGGGATTATAGGTGTGAGCCCCCACTCCCAGCCTGAAGAATTTCAAATTGCCCTAAGACAAAGATATCTTGAAATGTTTATTTTTTTAAAAAAAATCAACTTCTTGATATTACTTTACATAGGCTCTGAAAGGGTCACAGATTTAAAATGACTTGAGTTACATTGTAGTGTTAAGCTTCTGCTGAATTTGACTAGCATTTATATTCATGGATGGATAATTCAAGACAGATTAAAAAAAAAAATCTCCCCATGACATCGCCACTGCCTCCAAATACCCTTTCTTTATCTCAGCTGTTAGCTAACTGATAGTTTTCTGGATTTCTAGCAAATGTCCTGCTGGTCGCCAGATTATGTCAAGGCAGAGCCATCTGGTACCACCTTTTTCCAGCTGTAAACACTACAATAATAAGAGAGAATGGTCAAAATCACTAGACGGAATCAAGAAAGGCGTGTAAATGTGTTTAGTTAGGGCTGTACGAGCCTTAGTTATTTATTTATTTATTTATTTATTTTAGATCTATACTTGTATAATTCTCCACTCTTCATGGGCTTATTAACGCAGGCCTCATGTGAACATGGGCTCAGGGGGCAGGAGAGGAAATCCTTCGTGCTGTTTCAGTAGCATGAGGCTGAGCTGATAACATGATTCTCTGGTCTATTCAGATGTTGGACAGCTGCCAAGTGCCCACACTTGTCAAGGAGCATTTTGCTGTCAGGACTAATTTAGCCTTCTAATTTTGGAATTTATTTATTAGTTTTGTTATACCTCACTAAGGAAATGATTTTACAAATGATTTCTTGGTGAGAATCTGGCATTGGTGATATGTTTTGGACTCAGTTGTCCCATTGAAAAATACATTAATACTAATATCAGGACAAACTAAAGGAAGTTGGTTGTTTAAACAGTTACAGTAAATAACCTCCAGAAAACAACCTTTTTTAATATGCCACTGTATGTTCCTTTTATGTAACACAATTAATCAAATCTCCTCCTCTACTGCCTGCTCCTTTTCTCGCCCCATTGATAGTTTTTGCCTTACTGGATGGTGATTATTCAGCTGTCTCTGTCTTGCACTCCACTGGTCTTCAGCAAGTCAGATGGTATCTCTGAAGACCCTGCCTGGTACACAGTAGGCTTTCAGTAACTGTTTATTGAAATGATTATTCCTTGTGTAGCACTGACTTTTCATAATTTTGGAATATATTAGTTTTGTTATACTTCACTAAGGAAACGATTTTACAAATGATTTTCTTGATGAGAATCCTTGCAGTCCTTGCAGATCTGAGGACTTTGGTTTACAAATTGATATTCCTCCACCAATGATTCCTAGTGAATAATGTAGGTTATGGAGTTTTTCCCTAACGGTCTTTGTGATTTTTGAGGGTAAAAAAATGATCTTATTTATATTTATCTCCTAATCCCCAGCATTTTGTTAGCATTTAGTAAATGGTAAGTTGACAGCCAAGAAGTTCTTTGCGCTTAAATATTTTATATTCAAAGTCTCAGTCTCCTGTGTACCCACCCAAATGTGCACTCACCCTTGAGAAATGGCTCAGTAGCCTTTATCAGGCACACACTAGAATCAGTTGATTATAACTCTGAAGCTGGAGAAGACGACAATGGCCCCTTTATCACTCCTACACTGAACGTTCTAAGCTCACAGCAGGGAGGTGCTCCAGTGGGAGATTGCATCTGCCCCCCACAGCTCTTGTAGTGTCCTGCTGCTATGACCAGAGCTGGCTCTTAACTGGCAGACTTGACCTTGGCCCCTCTTCTCCATGAAGGGTCTGCCCAAATGTGGAGGGGAAAGAAAACCTTTTCCTGATTCTCCTTCGAGTAGTAGACTTACTTTAGTCTCAGTTTGATACGTTGGGATCTTTGAAAAAATTTGCTGAGAAATAAGAAAAAATAATTTCTAAAAGTATACCCAATTTAGAAATAACCGTATTTCTGTGATGTGTAATTTGGAACCGTGGACTCTTGGCAGACACATGAGGAGTTCTGCTACCTCTTACATTCCCCTCGTGCTAAGAAAAATCATCCGTGCTGTGGTGAGTGAGTGAGTCTCAGGGACTGATTAGATACTTCTGGGCTCCCATTTTATAGTGACATACCTCAAAGAACTCCTGTTACCTTCTGAAAAGAAGTGGCCCCCTAGACAGCCGTGGCCAGCGGGCTTGTCAACCGTTAGGCACCTATGAGAGAACTTAGTTCTCTCCACACAGAATAAGCAGCCGCACAGTCACTCTTCGTTTTCTGAGGTGGATTTGTCAGCTTAGCTCAGTTTATGTTAACTTGAGCCATCTATGTATGTAAAGAGTATAGAGTGTTAAAAATACATTTTCCTTATGATTGCATCTTAGATGGTGTACAGATAGCTCCTCATTCTTTGTGAAATCCATTTTAATCCAGATTTCTTCCTTGAATATAATACATTTAAGAAGGGCTGTATACTTGTCTTTTTAACTTCCCAATACTTTAAATAGCCTACATTATCTGAATTCAGACATGCATTGTTTAAACACCGTGTACTAAGTCAAGAATCACCTGGCAGCATTAAGAGAAAGATAAACATTGCCAGTTAGATCACTTTCATCATTCTTAGGCTTCAGGTTAAAATCCTTTCTGTCCTTGGACACCTCAGAAGATGTGGAGCAAAGGGAAGCCCATTCATTACTTCTTCTGATTCAGTGAGGGGTTTTGCCTTTGACCAACCTGCTCTTCCTAAGGGTGTGTCAAAAGGAGACACAGTCGTAGCACCGTCTTTCGGGCACAGTGCTTATGGTTAGCCCGAGTCCTGCAGTTTGATTGGACTGCTGGGCCATTTATAGCAACAGAAGCCTTGTATTTTGTTTCCTGGAGTGGAAACTGAGCCTGGATTTTCTTGCTGTTGCAGGGGTGAACAGCCTTTCTCAGTCACTCAGTGCCAATACATTGACCGCCTCTACCCTCGTCCACCTCGACCTCTCAGGGAACGTCCTTCGTGGAGATGACCTCTCAGTAAGTTCTCCTTTCTTTGCTCTATCGTTGAAGGCCTGTGTTTAGTAAGCCTGGAATAATTCTAAACATGACTTTGCAGCACATTTCCCTGCTTCTCTCTTTAGCATTACACCTTTGAATCATTTATTTATGACTTAGAAAGCGTTTTACTGAAAATTCCAGAGGCTTCCTTAATTAAATGTCATATATCACCACAGTTATTTTTTTTTTCTCAGTTAATGATGCTGAAGTTTAGAGTTTTTTGGAAGTAATGCTGCTGAAGAATTTTTTTTTTCTTCATTTAAAAATATTAGCTTACAGGGGCTGGATGTGGTGGCTCATGTCTGAAATACCAGCACTTTGGGAGGGTGAGGCATGTGGATCACAAGGTCAGGAGATCGAGACCAGCCTGGCTAATATGGTGAAACCCCCATCTCTACTAATACAAGAAATAGCCGGACGTGGTGGCAGGCACCTGTAGTCCCAGCTACTAAGGAGGCTGAGGCAGGAGAGGCACTTGAACCAGGGAGATGGAAATTGCACTGAGCCCAGATCATGCCACTGCACTCCAGCCTAGGTGACAGAGCAAGACTCCCATCTCAAAAAAATAAAAAACAGAAAACATTAGCTTACAGGTTTAAATTGTTTGGTAAGGAAAATTCGGAGGATGAACTGAAGTTTCTCATTATTGTTACTGGGAAGATTCATGGTTGTTTTTGTAGTTTACAATTGAAAGGGGATATTGGGATGAGCCTGAGTCCTCGCCTATTCTGCCTATTCCGTGAATAAAATAGGGAGAAGAGCGGTCTGCATATAACCTGGAGCCGTGTCGTCAGAGTTTGAGTGTGAAGGCAAAAATGATTCCCTCAATTATAATAAGATTTTTAATGTAACTGAATCAATCATGTAATATTTGGCAGATCTTTGACACAGTGGATCAGGCACGATCTCATTTCCATGTGTGGCAAATGGTCCCCTCTGGTCACCAAGATAGAATTTAGAAGAAATATTTCTTTAACAACAGGTCTACAGTCAGCAGCCATCTTTGGAGGGCCTCAATTTGCATTCCACAGCTTTGCCACAGGGCTGGAAAACACTGTGAAATTTATTCTTGTTTCTCATGTTTTAGTTTACCTGTAAGGCAGGGAATTCAAATGAAGCCCCCCTTATTTTTCCTTTTCCTCTCCCTTGCACTTAAAATTATTTAAATAATACTTGATTCCTGATGTGCCATGATTTTTTTTCAATCCGTTTTTCAGTTGCAGGTGTTACCTTCACTGACGGTTCATAAATCTGTTGTCTCCCAAGATAACACAGGGAGGCCAGTGTGAAACCACCAAAATAATACTGTGGCAAAGTAGAAGAAGAGAGGGAAGGATAAAAGGAGAAGCTGAAGGTTAATAAGACTTAGCTAGGAAGATTAATAGTCACCTAAGACCACAAAATAGCTCAAGATTTCTATTTCTGGCCAGGGTGGGTCCTGTTGTAGCTTGCTCCTGGAGAGTGGCACCATGAGGCTTGAGTGAGAGTGGGCAGGAGAGGCGAAAGTTCTAGGAGCCTGGCGGCAGGTGCAGGGGCTCACCTGACTCTGTGCCCCCAGGAAAAGCAGTCTAGCAGGGCCTGGCCTCTTTGGAGGAGTGTGGCCAAATAGTCTTGTCACCATTTTATGGTGATAAGAGCTCCCCCAGCTGGTGGTTGGGAGCAAAGCCACACTAAACTTAAAAGTCTCCTGAGAATTTTTCCAAGCAAAGAGGCAGAGGATCTTCAAGTGAGAGCAAAATGACTTTTCTGAATCAGAAATTTTCATAACAAAATCTATTCTATGGCTGGGCACAGTGGCTCACACCTAGAATTCTAGCACTTTTGGAGGCTAAGGCGGGTGAATTGCTGGAGTACTGGAGTTTGTGACCAGCCTGGACGACATGGTGAAACACTGTCTCTAAAAAACACAAAAATTAGCTGAGCGTGGTGTCACACACCTGTAGTCCCAGCTACTCAGGAGGCTGAGGCAGGAGAATTGCCTGAACCCGGGAGGCGGAGGTTGCGGTGAGCCGAGATCGCGCCATTGCACTTCAGCCTGGGTAACAAGAGCGAAACTCCGTCTCAAAAAAAAAAAAAAAACACAAAAATTAGCTGAGCATGGTGTCACACACCTGTAGTCCCAGCTACTCAGGAGGTTGAGGCAGGAGGATGGCTTGAGCCTGAGAGGCAGAGGTTGCGGTGAGTGGAGATCACACTGATGCAGACCTTGTCGTCTTCTTCTTTTTTTTTTTTTTTTTTTTCCTTTTTGAGACAGAGTTTTGCACTTGTTGCCCAGGCTGGAGTGCAGTGATGGTATTTCAGCTTACTGCAACCTCTACCTCCTGGATTCAAGCAATTCTCCTGCTTCAGCCTCCTGAGTAGCTGGAAAGACAGGCGCCCGCCACCACACCCAGCTAATTTTTTGTATTTTCAGTAGAGGTGACATTTCTCCATGTTGGCCAGGCTGGTCTTGAACTCCTGACCTCAGGTGACCCAACCACCTTGGCCTCCCAAAGTATAGGGATTATAGGCAGGAGCCACCGCACCCGGCCAACCTTGTCTTTAAAAAAATCAATAAATAATAAAAATAAAAGTCATTCTATGTGTATGACTGTTTTAAAGTGTTCATAGGCTATCATTTTGGCTCTTCTGAATTCTTTGATAGGATTCTTTTGAAGCACCATGTAGCCAACGTGCTACACATAGTGAATGTTAGCAAGGACAGACTCAGTATAAACTTGTTGGTTTTCGCAAGTATTCGGTGGCATCTAGTGAAGCAGAGGAGAATTTAAGCTGTTTGCCTGGCGGCAGGGAGCTTGGACTCAGTTTGTTATGGATGGGCCCTGGCAGTTGCTACACATGCAGGGTCATTCCAGAATAACATGTTCTTTGATGTACAGCGTCTCAGTTAAGCTAATGTGTTGATCAGTTTCATTATTTTGATCACCTTGAATGAGAGGATTGGGGAAGTTTAGGCATTGTGACCCCCTGAAACCTGAAGTTTTTTAGCTATTAGTGCGATTTTTTAAAAAAAAGCACTCATATTGCCGCCAAGCCATTCTTGTTAGCTTTGAGAAGTAACTAAGGGTAGAAAAATCATTATGTTGGACAGAAAAGAGGACAGCCTGAGACCATCCTATGGTTCAAATTCAAATTCGTAGTTCTGTGAACACTTTCAAAAGTGATTAGCATTTTGATAGAGTGACTGCAGTTCAGATGGTATTTTAATCTCAGGAGTTAAAATTAATTAGCACTGTTGTAAAATTGTATAATAAAAATTGAGCTAATCAGGAAAATGAAGTCATGTGTCACAAAAAGGAGGTTTGGTTTTCAAGATTCTATTTGACCTTTTTTACTCAAACATAATTTTAACTATTCTTGGGATTTTCACTGTCAGGGAAGATAATGGAATGACAGAAAATTCTGGTAATCCTCTTGGGAAGAGCAGAGAATGATCTGAGAAATTCTGGCAACTTCCATTTAAAACATTAACTTGCGTTGTATATATATGTGTGTTTCTAGAATCCTAACATTTCTCTTTTATTTTTTTCAAGCACATGTACAATTTTTTGGCCCAGCCAAATGCCATTGCTCATCTGGATTTATCCAATACAGAATGTTCCCTGGACATGGTAAATTTTTTAAAAAAATTATTGCTCTGAGGGTTCTCAGAAGAGCTGTTTAGATGGGATATAGGGGACCTCTAATAAAATACTCTTTTGGACCTAGAATTATTTAAAAATGAGAGTGCTGTATTTCTTTTTCAGGTCTGTGGAGCTCTTCTCCGTGGATGCCTTCAATATTTAGCTGTGCTCAATCTGTCCAGAACCATCTTCTCTCACCGGTATAGATTCGTTTTTGCTCTCACTGTCATTTCTGAGAAAAAGTTGTAGTGATAAGGAAAATGGAGTGATAAAAGGTGAATACTTACATGAACGAAGCCGGCCTCAAGCATTATTTATGAATATTAGGCCTTGAACGTTCAAGTTTTTGTTTTATCATTTTAAATGTAGGTTAGGGTTCTTATCAATACTTCCAGCCTGCCTACATGAACTATTTCTCATGTTTGGTCAGGCACTCTGTCTTAATATGGGAAAGACCCTTTTAGAAACTTTTATAGGTATTTCACATGGATGAGCTTGGAAGTCTAAACTACTTTTGGAGAGCAGAGAACATAGTTGTCTCAAAGCTCATGTGTTTCATTTGTAGAAGTAATTGAGGATCAGGTGAACGCTTCTCTAATACACTCCTCACTATAATTGTTTGCAGAATAAGGCCGTAGATTTGAAGCAGCAAGGATTCACAAATAGTAGCAACTTCGAATGAAGAGAGACTATAGTGGAATTATCAGAGGAATTATGAAAAGTCCATAGATTATATGAGTACGGAATCTGGGACCATCTAAAGAATTAATACAGTTCAACACTTAGCATTTATAATTATGACCATATGTTATAAATAACATTTTAGTTATACATTTTTTAATAACATGCAGTATTGCTTAATATTAGAAATATTTTTATCTTAATTAGTTTTTAAAGGCCTTGTATATTTAAAAGGGCAACCCTCACTTATTTGGAAAATTTGGTTTTGTGGCATGCTTTATTCCATAATTGTGCCTTACAAATCAATTATTTTGTATCTCAAATTTTTTTTATTACTTCAATAGAGATTAAATCTTTACAGTAGCAGAGATATGCCACAAATACCTCCGTAGATTAAGGTTAGGGAGTGTGAAGTCTGAAAATATAATGGTGGGAAAAGTTGAATTTTCCATGATAACTTTATTTTGGGGAACATTTGAGAATATTCATTGAAACCTAGTCAACTCATATATTTGAAGGCAGCTTACAAAGCCATGCTTTGGTGGAGCAGTAATTGACTGGGGAACTGGGTTACAAGATGAAAGCACAGACTATAAAGGTTTTTGTATAATCAGCACTTTTGAGTTCACAATGCTGTGAATTCTGTGATGACTGGTCTTTAGTAGAGCTGTTAAGCTTATAGAAGAGAATTGCACTAACAAATTGTCTTACCTTCCACATGAAAGGTTGTGATTAAACTGTTTAATACCTAGTATCTTACCTAGATATAGTTGTAGAAAGCCCTTAGTAATTTTGTTGAAATTACTGCATTTACATTGAGGTGTGGATTGTCAGCCAGGCTATTCATTCTTTTATTCATAGATAATTTCATAAGTGTGTCCATCAGGGTAACTTAGATTGTTCCACAGTAACAGTGACCCTTTTTCCCCAATGTCCATGGCTTTCAGCAACAGTGGTTTTGTGACATGTCCATTGTGTGCTGGTATATAACCTTCACTCCGGGAGGCAGAGCAGCCTCTAACTAGAACATTCGCAGTCATATAGCAGAGAAAAAAAGATCATGGCAGTGCATATACTGGCTCCCAAGGCTTTTCTCTGGAAGTCATACACATCATTTCTGCTCGTGTCGCCCTGGCTAAAGACAGTCACATGGCCAAGCCTACTGTCCATGGCGTGAGGAAGCATCATTCTTTAAAAAGGGGCAGTGAATACTAGGAAACATTGGAAGAGTCAACACTGAGACAGAATAACAGGAGGAGAAATATATTTAGAGTAAGTTAACAGTATTTTCTCAGCAAAAAGTGGACAGGAATGTACAAGCTTAATTTGTGGCACTACATGGAATCAGAGTTGTTTGAGATGTCTTACATCACACAGTCTACCAGAATTCTCTTTCCTCTTATTTTTCATCTTCTCAGATAGAAATTTTAGTTGTTTTGACTTTTCTTCTCAAATAGCCTTCAATTATCCTGTTTTAAAACATTTAAAAAAATATGCCAAATATTGACAGATTTTTTCAGATCTCTGTACATTAAATATTATTGAATATTATGTGGTTGAGCTAAAGCACTAGGATGCCCTCTGCTCTGAGATTCCATGAGTCCCTCCATAGAATATGAATAACGATCATTACGTGAGTGTTTACTTCACATCAGCCTAAGTGCTTTACATATGCTGACTTATTCAGTCGTTTCATCATTTCTATTAGGTAGAGCAGAATACACAAAGTGTTCGGATTCCATCTCGGACTCTTGAATACCATAATTCTCAAACCCTTATCATATAGTGTTGATGCTACCTTATTATTGAGCCGTATGATTTGATCCACATACTTTCCTCTGTAATAGCAAGGGGACGTGTTCAGAGGTTATAGCCATTTCATTTTGTAGTTTTGTCTTTAACTGTTCTGATACGTGGCCTGAAATAGGTTTGTGGTATGGACGTAGCAGCTGAACAGGCTGTTTGTAATGCAGGCTTCATGCCATTTGGACTTTTGTGCTGTTTTAGCTCAACATCACATCACAGCCTTGTTGCATATGAAACCTGCCACATCTAAAAACATCGCCAAATGCAGGTATTCATCTCTAGCATTTTGTGCCACCCAGTGGGAAAGTCTTTAAATTGGTGAGAAATAGACGTCTTCTCTGACTTCCTATTTTTAAAAATTCCAAACATGGAGTTTCTTGAAAATCAAGAGGTAAAACACAATGAATTCATTTGCTATGAAGAATAGCAATGAATTGTTTTATGAACTAAATATTTCTTCACCTCACTTAACTGGTTCCTTTAATGATATTGGATTTATGACTTTAGATTTTGGACATTTATTCATTTCTATTTACTTTTAAATTACTACTGAAAATATGACTGATTTGTAGATTTCACAATCAATGATTTCACAGTCAATGAAAATATTTGATGAAGGTGTAACCACTTGTATGACTCTTGTGTTTTTTTCAGGAAAGGAAAAGAAGTACCTCCATCTTTCAAGCAATTTTTTAGTAGTTCTCTGGCTTTGATGCACATCAATCTTTCAGGCACAAAACTGTCTCCTGAGCCCTTAAAGTGAGTGGTTATTTCACTTTCTCCAGAACATTTAAAGTTCAACTTGTTTTCACAAATGTGCTTGAGGGAAGGGAGAAAGATATATAATCCAAAGACAAAAAACACAGATGAGAATGCCTTTTTACTCTGGGGCAGAAAAATAAATTAAAATTGTAAAAAATACATTGTGCACTATTGATATTATTGCATCTTCTGAGAAAAAACATCTTTTGGTTTGTGACCTTGGCAGGAGTCACTGATCTACAGAGGTTGTACTCCCAGATACTTAATATTGCTTTTAACCTCTGTTCATTGAATTTTAGGCATATTTGTGTGCGTGTGTGTGTGTGTTTTAATTAGCATTTACTCTGAATCTTTCTACTAATAGTAATAAACTCTAAACACATTGTATGTATGCAACCAAATGAATTTTCAGCTGCTTTGGTTTCTGAATTACTGAGATTAGTATGGGCTATTTGGCACTTTTATTTGACAGCCAACTTCTGGGTTAATATCCCTAGTGTAGGTGTAGTGGTGAAGTTAAACTTGTTAGCTAAATTGGGATTTGAGAATAATTTATTAATCTTTTTTTTTTTGAGACGGAGTTTCACTCATGTTACCCAGGCTGGAGTGCAATGGCGCGATCTCGGCTCACCGCAACCTCCGCCTCCTGGGTTCAGGCAATTCTCCTGCCTCAGCCTCCTGAGTAGCTGGGACTACAGGCACGCGCCACCATGCCCAGCTAATTTTTTGTATTTTTAGTAGAGACGGGGTTTCACCATGTTGACCAGGATGGTCTCGATCTCTTGACCTCGTGATCCACCCGCCTCGGCCTCCCAAAGTGCTGGGATTACAGGCTTGAGCCACCGCGCCTGGCCAATTTATTAATCTTGAGATTTCTGTTCACTATTGCCAGAAAGAGTCAAAAGTTTGTGTACAAGTTCAGTGAATTTGACTGTAGGGTCAAATTCTCTGAGTCTAAAGAAGGCATTTTCTGGCCAGGCACAGTGGCTCGTGCTTGTAATCCCAGCACTTTGGGAGGCTGAGGTGGGTGGATCACCTGAGGTCAGGAGTTCAAGACCAGCCTGGCCAACATGATGAACCTCTGTCTCTACTGAAAATACAAAAATTAGCCGGGGGTAGTGGCGGGCGCCAATAATCACAGCTACTGGAGAGGCTGAAGCAGGAGAGAACCCGGGAAGTGGAAGCTGCAGTGAGCTGAGATTTTGGTCACTACACTCCAGTCTGGGCAAAAGAGTGGGAGTCTGTCTCAAAAAAAAAAAAAGGTATTTTCTATTTTCAAGTAGTTATGACTACAAAAGTTGTCAGATATGCTGAAATGTATACATGGATTTCTCCCTTCCCCAGCTGACTGTAAATCAGCATTTAATTTTTCCCTTGTAATGTGTATGAAGTGTTAAAATTAATTTCTGCATTCATCTTACTAGAAAATTAAGGTTCATTTAATTTATAAATTACCTTTTATTTTTCTTTTTTATTTCTGTTTTGAGAGGTATGAAGTTCTTGATTTCATATAGTACCAAATGACCAATACAATGGATGCCTTTAAAAAAATAGATCCAGTCAAGTGCTTAAAAAAAGTCTGATGTTATGTTACAGCAGGCTTAAAAAATGTTGAGTTAACATATTAGGGAATCTCTAAATGTAACAGCCACAAGTAATAAACATCTCATGATTTTTTCTTTGTATGGATATTAAGAAAGCTATCAGAATAGTATTCTAAAGTTTTTTTATAATCACACTCATTTACTTATTCATTTAAGTAATATTTACTGAGCATCTACAGTGTGTCAGATACTGTGATGCCACAGTAGTAAGCAAAACCAGAGAGGGTCCTTGTTCTGGTAATGTATCAGCAGGAAATTAGCACATTCAAAATAGTTTTCTATTTTTAATTCTTTCAGTATTGTTGACTTTTGCATAATATAGAATAACATTTCCTTGTTTAATGTATCTGATTTTATGGAATATTTCACATTGCAACAAGGCTGGACTTACTGTGCTTTGTTGTACATACATACTGTAAATGTTGTGCTTCAAAGATACTTTGTAATTGTTTAATCTTGGACCTGATGTTGTTGGTGTGAATGCTTGATAGCATTAAATCAGTAGCCTCTTCAGCTCTGTGTTTTAATCAGTAAAAATCTTAATACAGGGAGAAAGGCTTCATGGCTGAAGATTGTGTAAATAAAATTCTGTGTATACATTTAATGCGATATAATTATTTGATAAGACAACACAAAACTGATGTTCTCAGGTTTACGTGTGAGAGGGTGAGGATGAAAAGGAATTTGCACAGTACTACCCTAAACTAGAAACTGCCCTGGGTGCTTACATATGGCCTGTCACTTTTAATGTTGATGACAGTGATGAGAAGTTGGTATCATTACTCCCATTTTACACTTGAGGATATTGAGGCTCAGAGAAGCTAAGTAACTTGCTTTAAATCACTGTTGGAGGTTGGATTTCCTGGGAAGCCTACTTTGAGATGGAGCTTAGCAAGTAGGCTATTTATAAGGACATTCTCTTGGGATTCCCACCTGTAGAGAGGGATGGGGAACAAGCAGGATCAGACAGAAGGGAGAAGCTGCTCTGGGAAGGTCTTCCAGTGAAGAGGAAGAAGGCAGAGCGGGTTCTGGGAAGTGCCTTGCAGTGTCCACTGCTCCCAGCCAGCTGTCATGGGCTCAGCAGGGTTTCCTACCTCATTCTGCCTTCACCTGCACCAACAGGGGCAGAAACCCTTGTTTCTTGAAGGACTAGTAGCTATAAGAGAATAAACTAAAGCAATCTAATTTCTTTTGAGAGAATGCTTTAAATTTGGACATAACAATATTTTTTCCCATAAGTTTTCCTTCTATTTGAGATTCTTTTACAGGCAAATTAGGGAAGTAGAGTGTTTTGTGGGTGGGGTTGGGAGAAGCAAGGCAAAGAATATGACTCCTTACCTCATTATTGCAATTTTCTTTTGAGGCCTTTTTTTGGTCCATGTTAATGTATTTCAAGGGGGTTTCGAGAACGTGGCGATGCTGTTCTTTGGTGTTTTCTAAAATCGCCAGAATAGCCTGGTTCACGTGTGTCCCAGGGATGCTCCTTGCTCCAGCATCACTCAGAGTGCAGCAGGAGTTCCTTCTCACTGCTCATTCTTGGTCTTTGGTTTCCCCTCCCCCAAGCCTTTCTTCCTGGACATCCCCTTTCTCCCTGCCGTGTGGGACCCCTTCTCCATGACCCCATCCTTCTGGCTGAGTATTTTTCATAAACCTGTTGAATGTGCTACCCTGAAATGATAACTAGTGCCACTGATCTAGAGCTGTAAGAATTAAATACAAATTGTTCTCTTAAGCAATGTTGCAGTAGTGATTGAGGATCTAGACGACGATTGTTAAGGCAGTCTTGCCATCATTAGGTTAAAATAAACAACATATTTTGCTATAGAATGTTTCCCCAGTGCCCACTATGCTTTATTGTGTTTGTTTTTCTAAATTTTATTAGAGGCAGTTTCCATGTGTTATCCATTTTTACTAGTCTCATAAGTTGTTGCCTCCTAATCATTGGCCTTCTAGAGTTAAATGTCTTAAAGCATATCATTTGTTTCCTTGGCCTTAATTCACACATGAGAAAAGTAAGAAGTATTTTCCTTCGATCTCTAAGCATCATAAAAATGCAATGTTGAAATATGTGTCTAAGTCCTAGAATCTCAGCATATTTTGGAAATAAAAGGGACCTCTTTGGTAATATCCTAAGCCTCATTTTACTGATGAGAACTTGAGACTCACGAAAAGTGATGTGCTTAAGGTCATTCAGCCATTAGTCACTGAGCTGGGATGTGAGGACTGGCCTTTTGGTTTTCAGTCCCCAGACCTCTCAGTGACTCAGGACTGCCCCCATGAAAGAAAGGGGACATACCTAATTTTTAGGAAAAGAGAAGCAATTTAATAAGTAATTGTAATAGGTAACAAGTACATAGGTGAGATATACCCAGCCTTTCTCTTAGGACAGTGTTTTAGAATAAGGTGAACTAGTGAACTGAATTTAAAAAGTGAAAAGGAAGGCACTCACCTTCATCCTCCTGAGGGGGTCAGGGAGTGAGGGAGGCAGCCAAGCCCCCCTGTGTTCCAGTCCACTGCTAGAGTTCTCTCCTAGGAGATACAGCCAGAGAATCACCGGCAGAGACGATCTCAGGGACTTGGGCATAAAATAATTGCCTACCTTCCCACCTCACTCTTACCCTAGAGTATTTTTGGGGTATGCTTAGTGGAGGTCGTTTCCCTGGGAACCTGGAAAACAGGTCGTCACCCCCAGTTGGTGAGTGCCTGGGTCTCACTTTTCTAGCACTTACCCCGGCAGCCTTGTGTTAGAGTCATTGCCACACATATCTGCTTTCCTTGCTTGAGAGCAGGAACCATCTTATGCTCATCTCTGTGTTTTTCACAAAGTCTGATTTAGGGTCTTCTGTCCACTTAGTGTAGTTTAGTGGTTGTGTGTGCATGTGTAAATTTTCTGTTTCAAGCTTGCTTGTTGGTGTTGGATTTTATAGGACCGACTTGTAAAGTGGATCCAAGTAATTAGTCTAATCTCCTGAGTTTGCAGATGAGAACATTTCTTTTCAGAGCAGTGATATGATTTGTCCTGGCTCAGCAGGTAGTTGGGTAGTTGTCAGGGTTCTGGACCCAAGACATGTGCCTTGTTTTATGCCCTTGTCCACCTGCTACTGTAGGTTGTTTAGTAAACTCATTTAGATATAATTTCACATCCTGGGATGCTTTGGAGTCTGACTTCCTCAATTACATATTCCTTAGGGAAAACTAGCTTTACTTTGCAACTCTAATAACAATTGCTTAATAATCTTCTAAACATTATTAAAGCTGTTCTTAAGCAGATGCAGGTGGGAGTTCATCGGTGATGAGCACAATTTAATTCCAATATGCAATTAGGTGTGCTGTTGGTTTATTTGCATAGGAATGGCAATCCTGCCAGGTTTTACATTTATGATGGGCTCAAGCTGCCTGTCAGGCAGAAGAATGCTGCAGAGGCAGTTTTTTACTGTTGTTGTGAGGCAGAAATGCAGTTGGCATTTTAAAAAAGTAAGAGGGTGCTTGGTGCTTGATCTGTGATTCAGAAAAGGCATTCTTCTTTGTCTAGGCTTTATTCGGTGCGCTTACATTTTTTCTTTTGAGCAATGTGTGGAATGTGTATCTAATGCGCGTGTTTCCTCCCCTTAGGGCGCTGTTATTGGGCCTGGCTTGTAATCATAACTTGAAGGGGGTTTCTCTGGATCTCAGCAACTGTGAGGTAAGAACACCCTTAGATTATGTACTGGAATAGATAATAGCCTCAACCGCCTTGTGTTTTTCTTGGATAAAGTGTGGTAGTGTGATTCCACGGGTGTGAATGAAGCAGAAAAATACATCATACAAAAATACATCATACAAAAAATGAGAAAGCTTTTTCAGTATGTTTTTAATGATTTTGGTTTTGTTGTTCTATTCTTGGTGCTGGATGGCTGAGTATTTTATTTAAATCCATAGACTCGCTTTGCCTTCATGAAAAGGAAACGTACAGCATTTGTTGCAGGGGACAAATGTGTATAACCTAACTTGGATTTTGTAGATCATGAAAGAGAATGGATGTCTTATCTTTAATTTTACTTTTTCATATCTTGATTTAAAACAAGAAAATTAACATACCTCCAGAAAGTATGACAGTTTCAAACACTTCCTTTCAAAGAACTCATAGAGAAGAATTCAGACCAAAGTGTCCATATTTTACAGGGCACCTAAACTTTTACTATCTTGAAACTTTTAGTTTGTGTGACTAGTAAGAAAATACCGGGGTGCAAACTATGTGGCCTGTTCAGAGCCTGACTTAAAACGTCAAGCTTGATCTCTTCTTCTCAGGAGAGGAGGTGGAAGTCTCCTCATTCCTGTTCCCCAGCCTCACACACTGTTCTCTCTTCCCCAGCACTCCTGCCGGGTCTGTCTTCCTCCCCAAACCTCCCTCTCTCAGAGGAATTAGCTCACCTGCAATCTCCGGCATATGTGCAGCAGCCTCCTCGGCTATGCGGTCCTGGATGAATTGGTTAATATCACTAAATCTCAGTTTCGGTGCCTGCAAAATGGAGATAATAGTACCTCTCCCAATGAGTTGTTATGAAGTTTAAGGGAGCTCCTTTTGAAAAGTGCTTCTTAGGGTATCTGGGAGCCAGAAAACTTGTTTGCTCTTGCTGTTTTCCTGTCTGTCTGCCAGTGTCTTCCCTGGCTGCTTTAGCCCTTTGTGATCTTGTTCTTTTCTAATTGTCTAGCATTTAATGATAATAGCATGCACTTGGACACCAAAGTGCCAATAATACCTTGCACAGTTATTAAATTAACTCCTGTATGCTTGGATGTCACTTTCTGGAGGGCAGTATTTATGTCATACTTTATTTCGTATTTCCCTTATCTCCTAGCAAAATGCCAGGCAGCAAGCCAATACTAAATATTGAATGAGATTAATACTTTGCCTCTATGAAAGTTCTAGAAATGGACAAGTCTGAAGTTGTACCATATAAATTGTTAGTGTAGTGTTTTTTATTAGTTCCAAGTGGGAGTGAACACCAATTATATGATTTACTAGTCTTGTTGTTTTGAAAAAAGTAAAGCAAAAAAAAAAAAAAAACGAAAAAACACATTTCAAAAAAAACCAAACCGAAACAATAGAATCCTAAAAAAGTAACTTTGCATTGTGGAATTTTCTTTTTTATTCTTTTATTATTATTATTATTATTATTATTATTATTTTTGAGACGGAGTCTCACTCTGTTGCCCAGGCTGGAGTACAGTTGTGTGATCTCAGCTCACTGCAACCTCTGCCTCCCGGGTTCAAGCGATTCTCCTGCCTCAGTCTCCCCAGTAGCTGGGACTACAGGCATGTGCCACCACACCCAGCTGCATTGTGGAATTTTCATATGCAAATTAATGATTTTTCATTTATAAAAACAGACTATGAAGTAGAAACCAAATCTGGTAATATGAATTAATTGTTTACCAGCACTTTACTGAGGGGCATGCAAGTGATAATTTTATTTTTAATTGGGGGAGGAGCGAGAGATGAAGGAGTGGAATAGGCTATTATGTTAAGAAAAAAGAAGTTGGTGTCAACTTGACTGCTGTATCAGTCAAGCTACTAAATTAGCAATAACTTCTAATATGGTTTTACCATCCTGATTAAATCATGACTGCCACCAGCCTAGCATCTTTTTTTCAGTTCTGCGATAAAGCTGAATGGGCATGTGATCATCTGGTTCCTTAATTATAGATAAACTGAGGTCTACAGAAGTGGAAATAACCTAACTCACCAGTGGCAGATCCACAATGAAAATACTCTGTCCTGATTCTCTGTTGCTAATAGTGATATTGATTAGACAACTAAGTATGGCTGGGCATTTTCTTCTCAAATAAATTGGCAGGGGCCATGTGTACAAAGACTGCTCTAAACCTTGTTCCTTAAACACCTTTGTGATCTATTGGGAATGACTTTCAGATAGTTATAGTAGATGAACCATATAAAACTGATATTTTGCATGTCAAAAATTATAGACAATTGGCAGTTTCATAAAGTTCAAACTAATTACTAGTAGATTTTATCTTTTATAATCTTCTTTTTAATGAAGGCAGGAATTCAGGTCAAATGCTTAATCGATGCATCATCATCGATGATGGGATTGAACAATATTATCCTGACAATTCCGACTTCATTTTGGCCTTTCACTTATGCATTATGTAATAAATTAATGCTGCCAACATGGAGAAGTCTTAAAAATACTGTAGTACCATTTCCCCCCACCGCATTATAACTTGAATCACAGTGCTGGTGACCACATTTACAAAGTCACATGTTACTGCTGCTCATGAAAGTTGGTAACACACAAAATTATTTTTCTAAACTATGTTATAGTGTTTCATCATATTTTGTTTCTTAGGCCTAGACGTCCACATTTAAGTAGGTTTCTGTTTGCTTCTTTTCATGGTATGCTAAATCTCCCCCCAAAAGTGTTTGGATTTCTAATATAATTCATGCTAGAATGCTTGACGCTTTGAGTGTGAACTGTTTGAGTCTTTAATCATCTGTATTTGATATTGCAGAGTTTATGTAATCCTTTCAGAAACAAGCTCTTACTATCATGGAAGTTTAAAATCATGAATATGTATATTTTCTTTCTACCTGTTCTCTGTTTAGTTACAAACACTCTCCAATCTTAGCTATACCATCAAAATCATAGCACCTTCAGCCCTTAACTTTCCCCGATGATCAGATAAATCTAGTCTTAAAATCCAAAAGGTGGTGAGAAATGATATTTCTCCTGGATACCATTGTCATCTTGGGAGGTTACTTTTCTGAGGATGACTTAATCAGGATGACGGGCTGGGAGACCTGGGACGAGTCAAGGTCCACAGCATCCTGCTGGCGGGTGTCGTCCCACAGTTTCTAATGTGGGCTCTGTAAGAGCTCAAAGCTTCCTGTGGGTGCCCCTCACACAAGTCCACCCCAGCCCGGGAAACAGGAACTATTGTGAGATACATTGAAGTCTTCTGATATTTATAAATAGGTGATTAACTTTAATATAAAACATCTACTTTCCTTCCTTTATATCATTTATATCTACTGTATAGAATTTTTGTTCCAGATTTATTTCTTCTCCTAGTAGGGGGAATAAATCCAGTGATTGATTTAAAAATCAGGTTAGTATGAGCGTTGTAGAGGATAAATGATGGTAAAAGATGGTGGTTGAGATTGTTGGAAGGAGGGGGAAAAACAGCCTTAAAGTAGGAAGGAAAAGTGTCTGGATAGGGTGCTTAGGATAACTTAAGGAAATTATTTTTGATTTTGCTATATGCTGGTGTCTTTACTGTTCATTCTCACCTTTCCTAATGAGTTGCCTTGTAATTCTTAGGGTATTCTTTATTCCCCTGAAATAGGCATTTCACACTCGTTAGTTTGAATGAGAGAGGAGATTTATACTTCATACTATTAAAAAAATGTTCCCAGTGGATATTTAGAACTTCTGGAATTGCTTTCCTACAATACAAACATCATCGTTATTCGGAAAATTAAATCTAAAATGTTGGTCTATATTCTTTTGGATCTGTGATAGCTAAGGTAATAAGCACTGAAATTCACCTTACATTTACAGATAACTTCTATATTTATAGGAAGAAACTTCTGCATTTCTTAAGGCATTTTGCATTAATTATATCATCACCTCTTTCTCTTTCCCGTGGTCTTTTAGTACTGAAAAGGAGTCTCTTTTGTATGTGAAAATGACTCAAAGTAGTTATGGGAGCCAGAAGAGTGAGCCAAGGGTGAGCACTTTGGAATCAAAAGGCCGGCTTTGAAACCTGGCTCAGTTACTTGGCTTATTAGGTGACTCACCTTCTTTCAGCCTTTGTTGCTCATCTATTGAATGGAGACAATAGTTTTCAGGGCTAGTGTGACGTCACTGTGCCAGCCCAGCGTACGTGAGCCATCGTCTGGGGAGTAGAAGGTTTTCGATGGAAGAACTTTGTTTGGAATGTCAGAATAGACAGCGTAGGTCACTATTAACCCTTCTGATAATGTTTATTTTTAGAAGCTTTATAAATATTCAATCTTAACCAAAACATTTTTGGGAATTGCTTTCAAAGCTGTTTTACATCTTTCAAGAAGAATTTACTCTCCTTAGCTTATTGGTGAGACAAATTCTTCTTGAAACCTGATTTTTTGACACAAGACAGTATTATACTTCATGGCCAGATTAGCTTCAGAATGGCCTGTGGCTGATCCGTATGCATTCTCAAAGGGTAAGGATTTAATATCAGTACAGATGTTCAGAGAAATGCCCTCTAGGTTAGTTCTAAAGGGCTTCAGAACCATTTTATATGGCAGTTGTGACGTTGGCATTCATGAGTATTCTTCCCATTTATCCATGTATCTGAAAGGAGGCAATGGATCTATGCATTCTTTTTTTCTTTTTTTCTTGAGATGAAATCTCGTTCTATCACCCAGGTTGGAGTACAGTGCTACAGTCTTGGCTCACTACAACCTGCACCTCCCAGGTTCAGCTATTCTTCTGCTTCAGCTTCCTGAGTAGCTGGGATTACAGGCATATGCCACTGGGTCCAGCTAATTTTTTTTATTATTAGCAGAGATGAGGTTTCACCATGTTGGCCAGGTTGGTCTGGAACTCCTGACTTCAAGTAATCTCTGCCTAGCTCGGTCTCCCAAAGTGCCAGGATTACAGGTGTGAGCTGCCATATGCATTCTTGTCTGTTTTTTAAAATCTTAGAACTTCGTAGTTACACATTAAGGGAAGAATTAGTAAATGCTGGGACTAAATTCTTCAAACTTAGTCTCCTTCCAAGTGAGAGACAAAAATCTCTAATACTTCAGAGAAGATGCAAAGGCTAATTAATTATAGCTGTGGCCTTAGTTGCAGGCTTGGGTGTGGGAGTTAGTTTCTTTAAGTGGAAACTTTTCTGAAGATGATCCTACAGTTTATTGCAATTGACGACGAGTAGAAAAAAGAGCACCAAATACAGACATTTGTAATGAGTTTTGCAGCAATGAAATAGAAACTTTTGAGGCAGTTTTATTCCATTTGATATTCATTCAGCCAACCTTGAGGCAAGTGTCATTGTAGTTCTCCTTACCTACCACTTCCCTGTCAGGCCAGGTATGGAATGCGGAATTGCCAACGTTTCACATGACAGGATGCATGTATGAAAGGATGCATGTATGAAAGCAGTGAATATCTCCAACTATTTCCACTTTGAAAACGACTGTGTTTGCCTGGGCACGGTGGCTCAGGCCTGTCATCCCAGCACTTTGGGAGGCCAAGGCAGGCAGATCACTTGAGATCAGGAGTTCAGGACCAGCCTGACTAACATAGAGAAAGCTGTCTCTACTGAAAATACAAAAAGTAGTCAGGCATGGTGGTACACACCTGTAATCCCAGCTACTGGAGAGGCTGAGGCAGGAGAATTGCCTGAACCTGGAAGGTAGAGATTGCAGCGAGCCGAGATCACGCTGTGGCACTCCAGCCTGGGAGACAGTGAGACTCTGTCTCAAACAAAAAACAAAAAGGAAGAAAATGAGTGTATTTATATACACCCTTCTTAGGTACTAGATTGTTACTTGGCATCAAATCCTGCTAGAATGTGGACATTATGAACTGGATGTTGTCTAACCATTTTTTTTTCTGTCCTTGGAGAAACCTATACCATTTAGTTTTATCTATGAAAATTTCCCAGAATAAAATACAATTTTAAAAAATTACTATTGGAACCCCTATGAAAGAATAGTAGATAATTTGGGGGTCATTTTATATTTTGCCATATCTTTTTAAATGAAAAATTATATAAAGGAAAGAAAGTAAATTATTACAAGTTTCCTCTTGATTTTAATTTTCCTTCCTGTCCTTATCCCCATTATGAATATTTGACTGTTAGATATAACTTTTTGCCTAGAATTATGAGTAAGATCAGAAATGTTCCACCTTCATTGAGTGAGAGGATACTACTCCCTTGAAAGAAATGTGATTTTATTTTTAACAGTTCAAAAGTATTCAACATTTTGTTCACATTTACTTCTTTGATCTTGCTTTCTTTTAAATAATGCTAGTGTGTGGGATCCAAATAAGGGTAATTTAAAAACCAGTTTTACATGCACACATGCAGACAGCCTCTAATTATGCAAATTCATTTAAAAGGATTTTCATTTACAGTAATGAAAAAGCTTTTACTGTTTTGGGAAAGCTTTAGCTTTGGGGGAATTTTAGACATTTAATAACCTGTGACTTTAATTGAACGTTCTTGGTAACTAAAGCTCAGTTATTTTCTTATCTAAATTTTTGTTTTGGGAGCAAATTTGAGTTTGAAGTATTTTTCCTGGCTCTTTGCTTTTTTATATTGAGTACCGATAGAGACCTTACCTGCTTCTTTATTCTTGTTGTGCTTACTGCTGATGATGTTTTTTTGTTTTTTCTCCTTGGGCTTTCATTAGCTTGGCCATTGTGTAAGTACTTTATGAATCAATTAGAATATATTGATACATTTGATTATTTTTTAAGCATTGAAAAGTATGTTTTGTATGTATATACTACAAATATCAGTAAGGAGTATGTATAAATCGAATTAAATACGTAAATGTTACCTATATTTTCTGTTTCTATAAATGGAATATTTTTATGTTACAGTGATACAACATAGAAATTTTCTAATAGAAATTTTATCAGCCAGGCGTGGTGGCTCACACCTGTAATTCTAGCACTTTGGGAGGCCAAGGTGGGGCAGATCACCTGAGGCCGGGAGTTTGAGACCAGCCTGACCAACATGGAGAAATGCCATCTCTACTAAAAATAGAAAAATTAGGCAGGCATGGTGGCGCATGCCTGTAATCCCAGCTACTCAGGAGGCTGAGGCAGGAGAATCGCTGGAACCCGGGAGGTGGAGTTGCAGTGACCCAGGATCGTGCCATTGTACTCCAGCTTGGGCGACAGGAGCAATACTCTGTCTTAAAAATTCTCAACTAGTAAATCACTATCAGCAAATATGAAATTGTAAAGACTTACGCATTTGTGTTTATCTTCTCAAAAACATGCTTTTTTCATGCTCTAAAAATCGAATTGTTTTTTGAGAAGTGTTTGCTTAAGTGAGTTCTTAGTATATGTACACATTTACTTATTCAGGTATAAACAAGCTGTGACCTAGAGCTGTGCTTTTCAAAACTATCTTTAGCAAATAAACTATGTTTTGGTTTGTTTTATAAAATTCCAGTCTATCATATACCAATACATTTATAAAACATAGCAAGAATAAAATACAAGAAAGATTTAGAAAGATACATGCAAGCCCCCAATTTTTATGATTGGATGCAACAGACCTAAAATTTTTACTACCAAGGTTTCTAAAAATGTTTATACTCAATTTCAATACATTTATAAAACATAGCAAGAATAAAATACAAGAAAGATTTAGAAAGATACATGCAAGCCCCCAATTTTTATGATTGGATGCAACAGACCTAAAATTTTTACTACTAAGGTTTCTAAAAATGTTTATACTCAATTTCTGTACATATTCATTTTGAGTAACAAGGTGCTGGGGAAGACGTACAGGTGGCATCATGAGACAGGCTTAATGGGGCATTTAGGTAAGCTGGAGCGCCCCTGAGAAAAGAGGCAGGGGTGGTGAAATGGACCTGGCACTCATTCCTGACAGTAGCTTCGCACACAGGTTAGGAGCCTTTCAGCTGTGGGGGTGGTACTGGTTTTCCTGAAGTATGTAGACCAGTCTCTTGGAGAGGTCTGCCTCTCTGTAATACTCTACTTCAGAGCTCACCTTGGAGTAATCTGTCACCGTATAAAGTAGAAATGGCCAGATATGGTGGCACATGCCTCTCATTCCAGCTACTTGGGAGGCTGAAGTGGGAAGATTGTTTGAACCTAGGAGTTCAAGACCAGCCTGAGCAACGCAGTGAAACTCTGTCTCAAAAAAGTAGGAATGGCTGAATGTAAACATACCAGCTGAGATTCTCCCAAATAAAAAGCAGTCTCAAAGATCTGCGCAGAACTCCGCTCACCACACAAGAAGCCAAAGAATTGGGCAAGTTTTCACCCAAGGAACCAGCAAAATACTGCATCCAAAATAGGGAAATGAAGATTCCTCTAATTCTTACACCAAAACTTAGACAGGTGGAAAATAGCACCTCATATTATGAGTTTATTGTCAAAATTTTTATTTTCCTACATGAGGAAAGGTTTTGCCGTGTTCCTTGGTTCATACCAATAAATGGTAGTTTATTTTTCCTCATTAGATAGTAAGTTTACTGAGCATAAGGGCCACAGCTGAGGAAATTCTGCATCCTTCACAGTGCCTTCTGCAGAGTAAGAGCTCAACAGATATTTGCCGAATGGAAAACACAGAGATATGGGTGCTGTAAAATATGCTTTGGTTTCATAGGAAAAGATGGAAAGTACTCTATTGGGTTTTTCCGGGTATCTTTTTCTTTTAAGTAAAATAGCAAATGGGGTGAGAATAATCATTTGCAGTTAGTTTTGCTCTAAAAAAATTATAATAATATTTTCTATTAATTCAACATTTTTTTCCCTCCATTGCTTGAAAGTTTTGTACAAATGATTTTGCAGTCATCTTTAGTTAGCTATTATCTGCCTTATTAGTGAGAACGCATGCTCATTTCTATAGAACAGGTAGGGATAGGTCCTTCCTGAAATGTTTGACGATCAAAGTAAGTCTTCAGTGTCTCCTTTGTTGTGGTGGAGAGTTTTTGTATCTTGGAATCAATAACAGTTAAATAAAACAGTAACTCTCATGTGTAAAGGAATTTATTAGATTTCCCAAAGTCAGAAATGAAGAAGTTCTTCTGGGTTGGTATGTATTGCTTTGCTAGTAGTGGCCTGGGTGGTGGTCATCTTGTTCTTCCGTGTTTTTTTCCTAATGGTTTTAGGATGTAACGTTGGATCACATGGTATCAGAAACCGCAGCAATGGCTTGTGATAGGGTCTTTCCCCTTTGATAATAGCTTCTTTGGAGTTGATAAGCTTTCACTTTCTCTTTGGTACTAAGCTTATTTTAAGACTGACTATCTTTCCTATTTTTATTTTTTTCATTATACCTCCAGTAGAGTGAAGACTTTACTTTGTGTTTGGTTTGTGTTTCTCTAGCTGAGATCAGGAGGTGCTCAAGTATTAGAAGGTTGCATTGCTGAAATACACAACATCACCAGCTTAGACATCTCCGACAATGGTAAGTCAGGTATTAGAAAAGAAATGAAAATGAAATATTTTTTGAAGCAAGTTAATAAGGGGAAAATAATCTACCCAAATCCAGACAATACCTTAATAAAAATATTATTCCATTTCTTGACTAATAGGGCTTTTAAATTTAACAATTGGATTTATTTATAAAATAAATCTGCCCCAGAGTCTTACTAAGTTGATTCCGTGGCTAACTATGCAAAGCCTGTGCCGTAAAACAACTCACTTATAAAAATATCACCAGTACATGATAAAGGTCTGAGCCCAACTTTGTGTATCCTTGCTGATAATAATAAAATTGTACTCTTGTTTATTTATTCAGAAGCTTATTTCACGAGCTTCCTTTTTGCTAATTGTAGTTTCATGTTAGTATGAACCTGTGAAATTTGTATAGACGTCTTTAACTCCACTTACCCCCCAGTGAACAGTTTGTTGGAATCTTCTTTCACAAAGTGGTGGGGAGAGATGAAACTTTCGGCCATTATTCATTCCCATTTCCTGCTGACTTGGCTTAGCCACTGATTGTATTAAGAGATTTAGATAAGTCTTTGTAGAGAATGAGTTTATCCCTGTGAAATAATAGGACATGAAAAGAGAGCAAAGAGTGCCTTTGTAAATAAAAGATTAGAATCCCAGGGCCCTCAGGAAGGTAAAGGAAGTCATCAAACTACATGTCACATTTGCTTAACTGTGTCCAGCTGAGAACTCATTTATACACATGTGTTTTGATTCTCTACTTACTCTGATTCTTTCCAGGTTTAGAATCTGACCTATCTACCTTAATAGTGTGGCTCAGTAAAAACAGATCAATACAACACCTGGCGTTAGGCAAAAATTTTAATAATATGAAATCCAAGTAAGAGTTTTGAATTTTTTTATATGACAATGATGAAAATAACCAGCCTCCTGAAAGCTTTTGATTTGATTCCACTGTCCACATCTCTAAAATCTCTTTAGAAATCTGACTCCTGTATTGGACAACTTAGTACAGATGATTCAAGATGAAGAATCAGTGAGTATTATGTTAAACATTTTGGACTAAAATCTTGTGTTTGTTGCCAGTCTTATTGCTTATTTCTACTGGATTAGTGCTGAAATGCTTTCAGATAGTTTTATCAATGTGTATGTTTTCTGTTATTTTTTTAAAAATAGGATAAATATGCTTTAGTAAAATTATACAAGGTATTGAAAAACTCACTTTTTTACTTCTTTCAACTCACTGCCAATTTTTTAAAGGAAGATTGTAACTAATAGATAAAAAGAAGTATAAATTGACTCCTGAGTCTGTCTTCTAATTAGCCTTACTACTTCCTCACTTCAGCTAATAAACTAATCTGCAGGCATGAATTTTTATAATCTAGTTGACTTTATGACCTTATATAATGCTGAGAAATATCCTATTGCTACTTTGAATTTCATCTAATAATTATGCAGAATTATAGGAGACAAAATTTTCTTCCATCTTCAGTTGCTTCTTGAAGTCTAGTAGCACTCTGTATTTTTAATCCCCTTTAGTTGCTTCTGACCAAGGTTTAGTTCAGGGTAAAGAAGTTTAATTTCAAATAGTATCTTATTTTGCTGCCCTTTAAAATGCATTAGGTGCCAAAAAAGTTATTTTATGGACAAAATAAGAAGCACTGTACCATGAATCCATTTAATTTAGAACGGGTGTGTTACACCTTATACTTTACTGATGCTCTTTAAGATTTCATCCCTTTTTTCTCAAAGTCCTCTTTGGTCACCAGACTCAGCTTTTCCACTCCCTAAAACTCACATCAATTTATATTCCTACTATGAAGAGTCACATTATTCATGTTTTGTAATAGCTACTTTTGTAGGTCATGAGAGTGATTTTTATATTAATCATGTGGAGTATGTCACATTTTGAAAAAGTACCATTTTCCCTTCTGAATTTATACCAGGGAATAGCAAATTCTATTACAGCTGTAAGCTGACTTTTCTGTGAAAGCTAAGAGGCAAGGAGGGATGGACACTGGACTTTTCCTCACCTGCCCTTGCCTCCGTTTCTTTGGTGGGGCTCTGAGCTGATGGGCCGGAGAAAATTCTGTTCTCTTTTCTCTTCATTGTGGATATAATTTTCAACCTGTGGGCTAGAAAATGAATCTCATTATTATTTAATGAATTCAGCACTTCTCTTTACCCTCATTTGCTAATAAATCCCACATTTTGTTGCTCTTATTGTGGGTTATTGAAATTAGGGGTATAATTAGAATGTAATTTAGACTTCTCAGAGTTTATGCTGTTTGCTTTACATATTAATTTGACTTTATGTCACTCTGCCTTGTTTGAGTTTCTGATTTTCCAGTATTGGCCCAGTTTAACAGATTAGGGAAGCTAAAATTACAGAATTGTACTTAATATTCACCCCAAAATGTTTGTTTCTTAACACATACTTTAGGAAAATGTTTATTTTCATGAAAAGTATATAAATTTTATGTTTTGCTTATTATGTGAACTTCTTCAAACTGTATTTATAATTCTGGAAGTCTGTTACCTAAAGATGATGGTTAAAATATACCTAAAACCTTATTTGCAGATGATCAAGTTTGCTATGTGAATGTGAATTCTGTCAACTTACAAATTTGAATAGGGTGTCACTCGTAATGCTGTACAATGAAAAGCTTTTTATGTTCCTGCCATTGAAAAATAGATGGCTTTTTCAGAAAGCAATTACCTTTTATTTTTTTCTGCTTTTAAATGGTAATATGCAAAACAATTTGAAATGATGAGGAGATGAGTCTTGTGATAATAACAGTTTTACCAATACTTGGGAAAACTGGGATCATTTTTTGTTTTTTTATTTACGAGTTTTACATATGAAAAAGTAACCTCTTTGCTTTTTACATTCTGACCTTGTGTTTACAGAGCATGTTCTTTCCAGCCTATGGAATACCTTATTCACCCAGTATTGTACATTCTGTTCAGTTGAAAAACCTGGAAGCTGGTGGGTTCCAGTGTCACCTTTAGCTACAGTCAGTGGTTTTCAGGCTGCTGCATGCAGTGTCGTGGGAGAGTAATATAGAGGGGCCAAGATGACAGGGAGTTTTGTTCTGAAATACTGCATACGAACTCATATTGTAACTAGCAGAACAGAATGTATTTCTCCTGGGAGTGCCTGTAGCCAGGAGACTGATTCTCAGATTACGCATGTTCAGCTATGAAAAAGAAATAGTAAGATTTCAAATAGTAATGTTACACGGAAGTACAATAAATCAAGAACGGATGACCTTATAAATATGCATGCAATTCAGGCTGTTCTGTTCGCATTAATGACTCTGCCTATTATTTTTAAGTATTAACTGGGGTGTATTAGAATTTGAATATAGTCCTGGAATTGATGTTTCATGGGTTGGAGAGTTGGCAGTTTTCCAGTATTAGGAAGAAGCTATAATATATCATTTTCATAGTAATTGAATCAAGATTATTGAAATGATAAGACATGTGATTACATCTTTTTATTAAAGCATACTGTGTTTGTTTTTTATTTTAAACATGAAGTTTCCTGAGCCTGGAGCATTTTTAGTTGTCGTTCCCACTTACCTGTGTGAAAATTGAAGAAGCCACGCTAAAGCCACTTGAGTCTAAAAGTATGCAGACTTTTTTGGCCCAGGTTTTAATTGCCTTAGCACTTACCAGGCCATTTAACTGTTATAAATTTGATGCTGATTAATACAGCATTACCTTTTGATTTCACCATAAATGTATTAAGTTTGAAAGCCATGGTAAATTTGGATGGTAAGGGCAATAATATACTTACTGTGTCTTGGTACCAACCATTTGCAGAATGTCCTTGTTGGTATCCGAGTCTTGAAACTATCAACACCCTCCTTCTGTCTGCTGTAGCCCTTTGGTGGCTGAACCTCTCGCAGGTGTTGCTTTGGCAATCAATGTTAAGTGGTTAAGTGGACACAGATAAACCCCAGGCTGTGTGTGGGGGCTGTCATTTAGACCACCCAGGCACGCTTTGAGAGCTCCAGTCCCCCCGGGCCATTGTGGAACTTGGTCGTAGATTAACCCAGAAGCCACTTCTGTCACTACTTCCTGTAATATGGGGGCTACTTATGCGATAACCATAAGATAATTTGTTCAGTGTGGCTAGGACAATATAGAGCACTCCACGCAATCCTGGAGACGTCCAGATCTCCCAGGGAAGTCTGAGTTCTGACATTCGGAGCCACATTCGTTCAACCTGGTCTACCTGGAATTCTTACCCCACTTCAGTAAGTTATGGCTTAAATCAAGGAATGCAAACTCAAACGCCCACAGGGCTAGGAAGGCAACATAAACTAGGAAAGTGAATTTGGTGTAAATAGGAAGCTCTATTAATTTTTTATTATTATTATTTGGTCAGATACGGTGCAGAACAAACAAAACCTGCAGGCTGAGTGGCTTTCAGTATCTGGTTTAAATGGACAAACAGTGGGCTGATTGGGATTCACTATACAGCTTATGGTCTAACAAAAAGGTCACACAAGGCCTGGCACGGTGGCTCATGCCTGTAATCCCGGCACTTCGGGAGACTGAGGCCGGCTGATCACTTGAGGTCAGGAGTTTGAGACTAGCCTGGCCAACATGGTGAAACCTGGTCTCTACTAAAGATACTAAAACTAGCCGGGAATGGTAGCTGATGCCTGTAATGCCAGCTACTCGGGAGGCTCAGGCAAGAGAATTGCTCGAACTTAGGAGGCGGAGGTTGCATTGAGCCAGGATCACAACACTGCACTCCAGCCTGGGTGACAGAGCAAGACCTTGTGTCTCCCCCCGCCGCCCCCAACAAAAGCCATACAGGTTTAACTTAAACAAGGAATTATTTTCTGATTCATACTTAACACATAAAGTTAAGGCCAGGTGTGGTGACTCGTGCCTGTAATTCCAGCACTTTAGGAAGCCATGGTGAGAGGATTGCTTGAGCCTGGGAGCTCGAGACCAGGCTGGACAACATAGTGAGACCCCGTCTCCACAAAAAAATATTTTAAAATGAGCCGAATATGATGTTGCACACTTGTAGTTCCAGCTACTTAGGAGGCTGAGGTAGGAGGATGGCTGGAGCCCAAGACGTCGAGGCTGCAGTGAGTGGTGATTGTCCCTCTGCCCTTTAGTCTGTGCATTCTACACCAAGTGAGACTCTTATCTCAAAAAAAAAAAAACCAAAAGGGTGATCAAAAAGATCTGGGATAAGCTAACTGGGAGATGTGGTGTAGGTTTAGAAGCATGAAATCTGGAACCAGTACCTCTGAGTTTGAATCCTAGTTCAGGTACTTGTTAACAGTGTAACCTTGGTTGAGTCACTTAACTTTTCTGTTTGTTGGTTTGGGAAATGGGGTAATAGTGGCATCTAAGTAATGGGTGAGTGGGAAGATTAAGTGAATTAATACACATAAAAAGCTTAAACGGTGGTTAAACGTAGTCATTGTTCAGTAATTGTCAGGTATTAGTCTGGCTGGCTTTTATCTTGCATTTATCCTCTATTAGTATTTTAAGGTGCCATTTCACTTTATGTAAAAATAAAATGGATAAAAGGGTGACCATATTAAAGCTGAGAAATTTCTGTGTTATGTTTTTATTTATTTCATCCTATCCTCCGCTTAAAGCTGGTGTTTGTCAGCCTCTATGTGTTTCCCTGGCTTCCCTCAAAAGAAAAGTGATAGGTATTGAGCATTAAAACACAAGTTCTCCATCTTTTACTCCAGCGGTCCATTTTGCGGTAGAACCTTTGGTTTCTATCTGTGAGTGTCTTTTAAGTAGCACTTCTAAAATCAGACATGTGCAGTGGGTCTATCCGCTGTCATTCTCCATGAAATGGGCCGTGGAGAGTGGGTCCTGCTTTGATGAGACGGCTGAGTGCCACATGTCATTTGCTCCACAGCCTCTGCAGTCCTTGTCCCTGGCCGACTCGAAACTCAAGGCTGAGGTCACCATTATCATCAATGCCCTGGGAAGCAACACCTCCCTGACCAAAGTGGACATTAGCGGGAACGGAATGGGGGACATGGGAGCGAAGATGCTGGCCAAAGCCCTGCAGATCAACACCAAGCTTAGGTAGGCAGATCCCGCCCTCCCTGCTCATGAGGGAGGCTTGGAGCAGATTCTGAACTGCAGGCATTGCAGAGCTGCTGGGCCCAAGGGGACCTGAGCTTCCCTTGAGGCCAGCTAAGGAGAAGGGGTGACAGTGTCAAGACTTCTGTCAGAATAAGGAGAGGGTGTTCCCAAGTTTAGACAAAGTGATTCCTTGAGTCTGTTGTCTTACAGTTCTGTTGTAAGGTCGAACCTGACTGAGAACTGTCACGATTTCCTGTTTGACATCAGCGTTGACAGCTGACCAATGTATGGGTAAAGGCAGCAAGAATTGTGTCACTGCACTCTAGCCTGTGCATTCTGCACAAAGTGAGACCCTGTCTTAAAAAAAAAAAAGGTAAAATTAAACAGTGGTGATCAAAAATATCTGGGTTAAGGCAGCAGGGAGATGTTTTGTAGGCAGCACTAAGTGAGCAGAGCCCACACTTTGCTGTGAGCCCAAGGTCTTAACCCCCTTGCTCATCCCTGCCAATATAAAGACTTAAAAATAAGGGGCACAAAGGCCCGCTGGTTGAAATCCAGGCTCACACTGGGTGCTAGCTGTTTATTCCATGTTGCCTAAGCGTGGCTTTTCTGAAGGACTAGCTCCACTGTCGCCCGGTTGCCATGCATCATTCAGACAGATTGGAGTTGCTACCTAGGTCAGCAATCTGGTGCATGAAGAGTTAATTCACATTGCTCCTCAAGGGCTCTTTCATGGTGTTTTTATATTGTCTGGCATAAAAGTTGAGTTTTCTGTCTAAACTGAAGCCAAAAGCCCAAATCTGCAGCGGCTTCTTTGAAGGTCAGTGTGTGTAAAGAAGGTCACTGAGATTAGGAAGAGGAGGCGGTCAGAGCTGTGAGGCCGGCATCATCCGGACAGATAAAAGTTATTTTATGTGTCAGGGCGAACTCAAAAATCCCCAATACCTCTGAAGTATACACATTCTGAAGGTAAAATAATATTTTTCCCCCCAAATAGATTTTGTGTTTAAAAAACAAAGAATCTCCTGCTTATAGTAAGTGACGTTTTGCCAGCACAGTGAGGAAATTCCTGGATTATCAATTAAGCCATGTCAGGGAAATACTAAAAATGCAAGGAACTATGACAGATCCATTCTAGTGTTTTAGAAACACTAGTGTTTTACTGTTTAGGGGAAAAAAAATCTCAGGAGCTGAAATTCTTTATATTGGGCATGGAACTGTTTAGCATCTTTTGTAAATAGCTTCCATCTCAGACATAAATACTAGAATACTTTTGAGAGAATATCAGAGAAATCAGAATTTAGAGTGTTCTGTCTAGTGAAAATTAGATAACATAATAGTAAGTTAATTTATGTACCATTGCTTGTAAGTAGTTTTTCCACGCTACTTGCATGATAAATGTGTTCCGAATATGATATTGGCGGAGGTGCTTATCCTTGTTTGCTTAGAAATAAAGATGAACATTATTCCTTGCTCACTGAAATGAGTATCTAGACAGTCAGTGCTGTCTATGACAGATTTATATTCAGTGTGAGCATCCTTTTCTCCATTCCCAAGTGTCTGACCACTTATGTGATTTGGTTTTCAAACAGGACTGTAATATGGGACAAGAACAACATCACTGCCCAAGGCTTTCAGGATATAGCTGTCGCCATGGAAAAGTAAGTTTGAAGTAGGATTCCTTTCTAGGAAAATACCAAAAAGACCCCAATGGTGTATGTGTTATCAGCGGTGGGGGGAGTGGGTAATGGAAGCAACTGTTCATTGGGGAATCAGAAGATCTGGGTCTGAATTTAATCTACTGCTGACCAGCTATGGGATCTTGGAAGACACTGAATTTCTCCTGGTAGGAACTTCCTTGTGTATGAAATGAGGACACAGATGCCTGTTCTGCTAGGGACACCACACTGTCGTGAGAATTAAATGAGATCGCAGGAAAGGGGCCGTGTGACACTTGCCTGTTTCCTTTCCCCTTTGGGTTTTCACAATCTACACTGGGTCTTGTTCTTTTGCCTATTGTGACACCTTTGAACCTGAGGTCCAGAAAATAAAGGTGAAATTGATAAATGGTAAGCCTGTGGCTAAGTTGTCTCATTACTTTGAAAGGCTTTCTTCATTACCTCAGTAACTAAACCCTGCAATTATTATTTATTGTTGAATTTATATTCCCAGGAAGCTAAATGAGAAAATAATACTACTAGACATAGTAGAAAGTAATACTAGGAATGTGGTTCTTTCTGGGCTTTTCCATCCTCATATTATATTATAAAGGCAGAAATGGACAAAGCAGATTTATAGCATTAAAAATGAGAGTCTATAAAATGTGGGTGAAAAATTAGGGTCCAATAGCCTAGAAGCTGTTTCCCCGGGAAAGCGGAGGAAATGCTCACTATCCTGTGTCTTTCCAGATTCCTTGCATGTATACGTGAGGCCTCCCGGGAGGGCCTCTCCCGTCTGGCATGGTGTTGTAGTACAGCCCTAGACTGGGAATCAGGAGTCCTTCATTCGGTCTTCAGCTCTGTCACCCGCAAGCTTGTGATCTTGATCAAGGCATTTTACCTCTCTGATTAATTCCTTTTTCATAAAGTGAGAGGATGAGGATAAATGATCTCTAAGTCCCTTCCGTTTCTAAACCCTGTGGCTCTGCTTCAGACAGGAGTTCAAAGTTACTGCCGCTACAAAATCACAGAGACTCATCTCTCAGCCCCTTCTTTGTACTGACCCCAGGCCATCACCAAATAGCGGTAAGGCAGCTTAGACCATCGGTTTAGCACGTCCGCTGCATGATTACAGAACCCCCTGTGGTTACTCCTGTTGCACCACAAACCCCCAAATGGAGACATTTATTTACACTGAGCAGCATCTGGATGCTTAGGGCACGTTGCCACCCTGATGTTGTAGACTGCCAGCCCAGACTGGTGTTTGGAAGAAGCCAGGAGCGTGCACAACCAGTACTCAATATTTCCAGAATGCCTGTTGGACTCCCTTTGTCACAGTCGATGATGTATGCTCTGCTCCAAGATGCCAGTGCTTCAAAATCACATTTGGTTTAAATAAACTGTGCTGGTCTGTAACATGATAAAAATTGGATGAGGGAAAGGAAAATTGTCAATGCCGTGAAAAAGACATATTGTCTCTTAATTTCATTTGGCTGGATTTTCTGAAGGCAAACAAAAACAATTTTACGAAAACAAAGCTAAGATAAAAGTTAAAGCTATAGAAATTACAGGTTTCTCTTTGATTATTTTACATGAAGCCAGCCTATAAGTTGGGACTAGGTGAATTTTTTTTTCCATTAGATAATGCCTATCTAGACTGCTACTATTAAGAAGATGGCTTTCTTTATTATTTCTTTATTATTAGTACCTTATTTTAGGAATTAGTTGCTAATTTATTCTTCTGGTAGATCTTGTCATGTAATATGCCTGAGAAGCACACTATGAGTGCTGCTGATAGTTTAGAGTCCTAAAACAAGGCAGCTGACTGTGCAGTTTTAATGTCCCAGTTGCCACCAAGTAGCCCAAGGTGAAATTGATCTCTTCCTGAGCACCGTGTTGTAGAAATGGACAGAGGCATTTTGGGATGGAGGACAGAAGTCATCTCTAATACTGGAGTTTGTGGTAGATGAACAGGTGTTAATGGCCATCTGAGCACATAGTAGTTTGCAGGTAGGTCAGGATCAAAACCAAGAACTGGATTCAGAGTTCTATGTGTTTTCCTCCCACAAAAATGGCTCTCTCCTGCATGTTTGTGTTTAATAGGCCTGCCAGTAGCAATGGGATAATATACAGCAATCAACAGTTGCTTCATTTGGTTTCTAGAGCCTGGTGGGTGGCAGCTCTTGAACTCAAGCTGAAAGGACCTGCGGAGGTCACAGTGTTTAGCCAGCAGCAGACCCTTTCCCAGCAGCTTTAAAAGAGACCATCTCATGTGTATTGGACGTCTTCGTACACTGGAGCTCAGAAAGTTTAGGCTATTTTGTGGATGCTGATGGCTTGCTTTGCCAGGAAATGTTTTGGTTTTATTTCTGTTTTTTCCTCTACAAGTTTGGGTCTGGTCACCACACATCAGCACTGTGAGGACCCAGGTACAGTCAGGTCTATTGGTTACTAAAAGCCATGTAGCAAGTTGAATATTGGACTTTCCTTAGACTTTCTCTCAATCTATCTTTTCAATCCCAGTGTGCAAATTCTGTCCTTGATGGAATCCAAAACTAAAAACAAAACAACAAAATTGCATTCCTCCACATTGTGTCAGTTTTTTAGGTGGTATTAACGAGGTTGCCTGGGGTATTGCACGTGTGGTTATTACAAAGGATAATCTGCAATGTAGGGACCCAAATGGTCTGGTGGTTTGGAATTTTCTAAGCCTCTCTTGCAGCTATCCTTTTGGATTTTAAAAAAAAGAATGCTGAGTTAAGGTAATAGGAAGTTATTTTTAATACGTATATTATTTTCTCCTTTTCCTAGGAACTACACGTTAAGATTTATGCCAATTCCTATGTATGATGCTTCTCAAGCCCTGAAAACAAACCCTGAAAAAACAGAAGAGGCGCTCCAAAAGGTACTAAAGCATCAGTAGTTTAATTACAAGAAATTCACATTTGAATTGTGGTCATGCTCCTGAATGTATAAACAATACTTTGTTATTTTACTTTTTTTTTTTCCCCACATTGTCTTGTGTTCTTATGAGTACGGCTTGCGTAATGCATGACTGGGGGAGGAGAAAACTAAGGGACTAAAACTTGTCATGCAATTTAAGTGGAATAAAATAACATCCTTACAACCTCAACGTGCCAGAGCTTATGTATAGTTAACTTCCCGGATTGCTGTTGGAGAAAGTTGTGCAAGTGAATATCAGTTGACACAACTTCCCTCCCCTTCATCCTTAACAGATGGAACCCTCTCTTCTTTTTTCATCAAGAAATTTAGGGTATTACTGAGCTCTCACTTTACCACCCTTGCCTATAAATGTATGTAAATCCACACCCATTCCTGCCTCTGTGCTGGCAAACTCAGAGCTATCTTCCACTTCAAAGCCCAGTGCATTCCCTGGTGCATTTGACCTTCTTATTCTTCCCTGTGCTGGAAACCTCGGAATCATTCCCTTGCCCTCTTGTTCTTCATCCTTCTCTTTCTGTGGCTACCTTTCTCTCCATTTTAGATGTGCTCAGATATTTCCCATCTGAAGAAGCCTGTTCTATTCACACTGTTACTTGATGAATCTTTGAACTTTTCCTCCCGCTGTGTTCTTTCTCCTTGGTGATGTCATCGAAAAGACCACCAGGATGGCTACATTTAGAAAGGATAGCTCTGTCAATGATACTGGTTTGCAAACCGGGAAGAGTCAGTCTCTGGTGTGTGCTGAATGGGCTCCCGTCTTAAAAGAAGGGAAAGGCAGGTTGGGTTTATGCCTCACAAGGCCTGCCTCACGCAATCCAGTTGTACCTATGCAGCAGGTGTGGGGGGAAGCTATACATGTTTATGAGGGGAGCAGGGTGCATGTGCAGTGGATAAACATGTAACATACATCTCATATTCACTTTGGGGTGAGGCTTTCGCATTAAAATGAGGGCAAATGTGATTATGTTAAAAGGTGAACTATAGTACACAAAAACAGCTTGTGTGCAGCCTCTGTACACTGGCTGAAACTGGTTTAAGGTTTGCAGTTACTTATCAAAAAAGAGTTATAATGGTCTGAGTTGCAAATCAGAATAGAAGGAGTGTGATAGCTCCTATTGTTAGGGAGTTTCGAGCTGTGGGAATTTAGAAATTTCCCTTGCCACCTGGCTCTGAACCCTTACTCCAGAGGTGACTTTGTTTCCTTAACCTTAGGGTCCGTCTTAGTTGATGAAGGAGTCTCAGATCACAGTGCTACCAATTTCCATCCAGTCTCCCAAAATTGACTTTTTTCTCTCATTTATTCCGTAGCTAATCAATCACCAAGTCTACCATCCTGTAGCATAAATCCCTTCACTAGCTTTCCTTCCCTCTGTTCCCAATACGGATACCTTTCTTCAAGTCTCTTCATCTCTTACCAGGATTACTGTCACATTTGCCTCCTCTGGTCAGTTTTCCATGTTGCAGTAAAAAATAGCCATCCTATTTTGGGGTAAATCTGAGCAGACTAAAATCTTCACTCTATCCCTTCCTAGTGGCTTTCAGGACAAATAAAGCTGGGTCTCCTTAACACACCAGGAAATCTTGTCCAGGATCTGACTCCTGTTCACTTCCCACTTCATCTTTAGGCAACTCTTTGTTTTGGCCTGCCTCAGGGAACTCATTAAAAGTGCAAATTATTGAGCCTTAGAAACTGAGGTAGGACTTAGCATTTGTGTTTTCCCAAACTCTCATGGTGTTTATAAAGTTGAAGAATCTCTGCTGTATTCCAGACATCCTTCTCTTTCCTGACTACCATGCAGGTCTGCTGAGATTGAAATCCAGTGTCAGCTCAACCAGGAAAACCTCTCAGAGGCCCTTTCCTTCCCCAGGTGTGTGGTCTTCTTAGGATTTCCCTGTGCTCCTTTCTGTCATTGGCCTTGCGACATTGATTTAAGTTACCTGGCTACGTGTTTTTTTTCTCCTAATGGACTATGAGTTATTTGAAGGCAAAGCTTATGTATTTTTTCCCCTTGTTTATTCCCACAGCTAGCACAGTGCCCGGCATGTATGACTGGATACTTCATTGATTGATTGATTGATTGGTTGACACAGTCTCTGTTGCCCAAGCTAGAGTACAATAGTGCAGTCATGGCTCACTGCAGCCTCAACCACCTTTGCTCAGGTGATCCTCCCATCTCAAGCAGGATTACAGGCATATGCCACTGTGCCCAGCTCATTTTTAAAATTTTTTTATAGAGATGACTTCTCACTATGTTGCCCAAGCTGGTCTCAAACTCCTGCACTCAAGCAGTCCTCCTGCCTTGGCTGCTCAAAGTGTTGGGGTTATAGATGTGAGCCACCATCCTAGTCACTTGAATACTTTTTAGGCATATATTGAATAGAAGAGAATACGATTACAGATGAGCGAAGGAAAAGCTGTGGTATGGCAAAAGAAATCAAGATTTCAATTTAGAATATCTGACTTAAAATTAAACTCTTCCCATAACCTTCAATAAGTTATTCAATTTTTCTGAACTTCTTTTTTTTCAACTATGTAAGTAGGAAAAATAAAACTATGTAATAACTATGTTTAGCTGACAATATATAATTCCTACTGGGTGTCTGGCACTATTTTAAATGTTTTACATAAATTAATACATGCAGTCTTTAAAATAAATGATGCAGAAGGTTCTGCTATTGCAGATATGGAAAACAAAGAGCAGGAAGACTAATTTGGCTAAGGTGACCACGAGGATCCAGTGACACAGTATATGTAAAAAGGAATTTGTGAAAAGCTACATAAGAATACTAGATGTCTTTATAATTTCCAATAGGATACTAATCAGCTTTGAATAAAAGACATATTCTAGAGAAACCAGGTTTCTGGTTTCAGATTTGATCTCTCAAGAACTTGAAAGTTATCACTCCCATCCTTACAACAAAAAATCTGAACAAACAGAAAATCAATGACTATTCTTAGATCTATCAAAGAACTGAAGCCACAAGGAAAACTATCCCCCTGGAAACTGGAGAGTGGAGAGAGAGGAAAGTACAGAGAATCACAGTGAATCATAGCCAAGATCAGCTTGCCAGGAGCAGAAGCTAGTAGAATGATAACTTACAGGAGCACTTAAACAGTAAGTGATGAATTGCTAGAGGCTTAGCATAGACTAGCTTAGAGCTAAAAACTCCCAGGGGTTCATTTTTAGGGAAGTCCCTACCCTTTCATGGGTTTTACTTCCATGAGTCATACCAGGCTGTCACAATAAAGACTGGAGAAAAAAAAAATTTTTTTTCTGGCTGGGGGAAGGGGAAAATAACCAGTTTGAAACACACCCAGAGCATTCTGTTCTAAATAACAAAGGCCTACCAGCCAGAGAAAATACTTTGGTGGGGCCTTATTTGAATAGGGGAAACAGAAGTAACCCAGCCCTCTCTAGCTTTTCTGTCTCATAAGGGGTAGGGCTAAAAAGGATAATGACTATGTTTGAAGGCCATAGCCCAGGGACCAGGATTGCTTTAAAAAAAAAAAAAAGACTAATTATAAGGATTATAAAATGCTTCCCCTTCCTAACTCCTTATCACCAAGTTAAGTAAAATAGCAGTGGATTACAACCAAGCAAACTGCAAGACACAGACTGTAATCAAAGAGTTTCTAGGAAAACCCCAAACAACAGAGGATACAAAACCAAGGACACTAGAGGACATTGAAGCCTCTGACATAGACTGCTAAAACAAATATCAACAGAGCCTAGCTCTTAGCCAGTTAATGTATAAAACCTCACACTAAAAGGCTGATGACTTTAGTTTGTGTTACCAGATACGTCATTTTCAGCTTTCAGCGAAAAATTGCAAAGCATGCTAAAAAACAAAAATAAAGCAGTGTGAAAGAGACAAAACAAGCATCAGAATGAGACATATATGATACCAGTTTTGGAATTATCAGAGCCTTTAAAATAACCATGATGTACTTCTTAAGGGCTCTAGTGGAAAAAACAGATAACAATCAAGAACAGATGGGTAATGTAAGCAGGAGATGAAAGCTCTTAAGAAAAACTAAAAATACTAAAGATAAAAAACCTGTAACAGAAATGAAGAATGCCTTTGATGAGGCTATTGGTAGACTGCGCATGGTTGAGGGAAGAATCTTTGAGCTCTATCTAGCATTCTTCAATAGAAACTTCCCAAATTGAATTGCAAAAAGAAAATAAAGAAAAGAACAGACTATCCCAGAACTGTGGGATAATTATAGAAGATGAAACTTGCAAATAATGGGAATACCAAAAGGAAAACAGAGAAAGGTACAAAAGGAACATCTAAAGTAATAATGGCTGATAATTTTCTGAAATTCCCAACAGACACTAAACCACAAATCCAGAAAGCTTAGAGAATACCAGGTAGAATAATTACCAAAAAAGCACACATAGGCATAGCATATTCAAAATGTGGAAAACCAAAGACAAAGAGAAAAATTTTTAGAGAACTTAGACTGCAAAAACACCTGTGTATTGAGAAACCAGGATAAGAATTACATCGCTCTTTTTGTCAGAAAACATGTAAGCAAAAAGAGAAAGGAATGAAATACAGTGTTGATACAAAAAACCCCCAGCAGCCTAGAATTCTATATCTAGGAAAATTACCCTTCAAAAGTAACGCAGAAATAAAGACTTTCTAGGATAAACAAAAACTGAGGAAATATATCACTAGTAGATCTGTCTTGCAAGAAATGTTAAAAGTTCTTCAAGGAGAAGGAAAATGATATAGATTAGAAATTGGATCTGCATCAAGAAAGGAAGAGCATCAGGGAATAAAAGAAGGTGATTTTCTGTGTTTCTTAGTTGATGTAATAGATGACTAGTTTTTAAAGTAATACCACAATATACTGGGTGAATGTGGTATAAAGGATAGAAAGGGAATTGACAATATTCTGTTACAAAGTACCTGCACTACTCATGAAGCGATATAGCGTTATTTGAAAATAGACTTGGATTATTTATAAATGCATATTGCAAACACTGAGACAAGTACTAAGAAGTTTTTTAAAAGGAGTATAGTTGATAAACTAGGAGAGAAGAGAAATGTAACCATACCAAATGCTTAATTGAAACCAGAGACAGTAGAAAAAAAGGGAAGATAAAAGAAACAAAGACCAAACGTAATAAATAGAAAACAGTTACAAACATGATAGATACGAATCCTCCCATTCAAGACACAATTGACAGGTCAGGAAATTGAAAGTAGGTACAGAAAATGAACACTCAGCACAAAGTATGCAAATATGTTAACTGTAAAATTTGTGCTTTCTTAACAAAAAGTTGGTGACTTTAAAGCTTATATTTACTTGTTTCTCTTCTCTCCCTTCCCCTGTCCTTCCCTCTCGTTCTCCCGTCCTTCTCCCTTCTTCTCTTCCCCTTCTCCTCTCATCTTCTTTTCCTCTCCTCTCCTTCTCGTCCGTTCTTTTTCTGAGACAGGGTCTCATCTGTCACCCAGGCCAGAGTTCAGTGGCGCAGTCATGGCTCACTGTAGCCTCACACTCCTGCGCTCAAGGGATCTTCCCACTTCAGCCTCCTGAGTAGCTAGAACCACAAGGAGTGAGCCATCATGCCTGGCTAAGTTTTAAATATTTTTGTAGAGATGAGGTCTTGCTATGTTGTCCAGCAACAAATTGCTATGTTGTCCATAGCAATTTGGTCTCAAATTCCTGGGCTCAAAGGATCCTCTTGCCTCAGCGTCCGAATGTGTTAGGATTCAAGCATGAGCCACCACACCTAGCCTATAGGTTTTTCTTGTAAAACGTGCTGTGTTCTTATATATTCAAGTTTTTATTTTAACAGGTAGATTTTTGTCTTCTGGAAAAAAATAGGACTATTTACTTTTACTCTACTGAATTAAAAAATATGGTGATTCAATACTCAATATATTAAAAGAAAAACCCACAAGATTCTTTACTAAAACATAGATTTTGTTTTTGCTTCTTGTGCTGCTGTTGTTTTCAGCAGTGAGACCAGAGATGTCTAACTCGCTCAGGATTGTCTCCCAGCTTGCTCTCAGCTGTCTAGGGGAGCCCAGTAAACATGATCATGATCCCTTTGGTCCTTCAGGAGGTGGGTTTTCTGTCCTTAGTCTGAAATGGAGGGTGCGTGCAAGCAAAGTTTACCCTGTTACTCTAAGATGCAAATAATTTCGGTGGTGGTATATACAGGCCTGATATTAAAATCACCTGAAAATTGTTACTGTTTCTTCCTTTTGAGCTCATTTTTAGAAACAAGCTTTAGAGTACTACTTTTCTTTTAAAAAATTCCTTCCTGGCTTAAGTCTATAAAGCACCACTGGTGCGTCTGGGGAAATGACTGGAAGGAGCCATCCTCGCATGCACCGCCTGTGTGTGAGATGAGCCTTCTGAAAAACCGAGCTTGTCTCGCATCCAGCTACAGCCAGTGCTGCAGCGAGCCAAGTATGTATTAACTAATAGAGCAAAAGGGCCAGAAGCTGGGTGGTAGTGTGTGCCAGTCACATGTTTCAGGCAAGAATCTTTTCTGCAAAATATCCTGCATTGATAGTAATGTCACCTTGGAAAGAGATGACTTCTTGGGAAGCAACAAGAGAAAGTAATAGAATGTAATGTCAAGGCATTAATGTGTCACTTTAATGATGTTTCATTTCAGGTGTCTTTTTGTTTTTATAATTTCTTCATTTATGTTTAATGGAAAGGTACATTTTGTTCTCCTTTATATTTTCAAGGGATGATAGTAATTATAGTCTGTATTTTAATAATTTTGAATTGATATTAAGTAGTAGTCATTTAAGCATATGGAAATTGAAAATTAAAATGTAATAATACTTAGAGCTTCACAGTTATTAGAAGTTCTTAACCAGGGAACTGCTGTGACAAAAGCCAAATGGTTAAGTGATGTTACTAAAAAGAAACAAAAAGAACATTATTAAAAAAAAATAGATGACAAAATCTATCAACCTCAGATTATTCCTTACAAACATCTTTATAGGTATTCATCATCCTTAATAGTTAACCTTGCATTTTTGTTAAATGTATATTTATTTCATATTGTTTTTCTTGAATGCTTTATTTTAATCTAGTCATCATTTGTACCTTTGAATTTTTCACAGGATATAATCTATGTATAAAAATACAGAAATCCATTTTTTATTTGCTATAATTTTAATAATTCAGTCCTGTTTTTGAGAAAATATGAAAGTCTGATAGGTTAATGGAATCGGTATATATCTTTGAGTTGTACCAGCCTGTATCCTTCAAATTTTGTAGCTATTCTTTCTGTCTCTCTCTCTTTTTATGGTAAAGAATTTTCTAAGTGCTGATACATTCTACAACTGGAATAAGGCTATAAGAGATTCAGAGAGCACCATCCTTATTCCTTGGGGATATTTATTTAACTTCTGAACTGTTGGGTAGTCATGCAAGAGAAGGATTGAGATTGTGTGCTGAAAGTGATGAAAAATCACGAAGTGGGGTCTCTAACCCTACAGGCAATTAAAAACTTGCTTATCTTTTTCGACGACTGAGTTACATACAAGTTACTCCAATTACCTGCAAGTTGAATCTCTCACTAAAAGCACAGTCATCACAGTGAAAGCCAGTTTTCCCTGTCGCATGTGTTTTGTGGGGTCCAGGCACTGGCAGCATGTGTGGATTTGCGCTTCGGTTTTTAAGTCGTTAAAGACTGTTTCGTTTACACTTTATTCTCTGCTGCGTTGAAATGTGTTCTTGAGGGATACCTGTGCTTTATTTCCAGATAGAGAACTACCTGCTACGCAATCACGAGACTAGAAAATACCTTCAAGAGCAGGCCTACCGCCTGCAGCAGGGCATTGTGACCAGCACCACCCAGCAGGTAAGCCCAGTGCCTGGGTTTCTGTTCTTAACTGACCTCTGAGAGCCAAGGTCTTCCAGCATTGGAATCATTTCCAGTGGGACAATAAGAACTCGTTTCTGAAAGTGACAACAAATCTAAGTAGAGTTTGAGGGAAGATGTTGAAGGAGGAAAAGGTAGGCTAATTCTTATGCCAAATATGCATGTTTAATTGTCTATCGACAGTTGCCAGTAAGGTGTATTTTAGGTTTCTATGCAAATATTAGGAACTTCTGATTATAATAGATGATGAAGTCTGACAAGTGATCAAATTTGCTGCTTTGGAGACATTCTATACCTTTCTCTTTATTCCTTCACACCTCCATGGGTAGAACACAGATTCCCAGATTTTATGTTCACAATGTCAGGTTCGTTAAAAAAAGAAAGCAAATTTCCTGATTCTTTTGAATAATTAAAAGTTTGATGTATATTAATTAACACATGCTAAAGAGAAACTGAGATGTTTTTCTCTTTTACTGCATTCCTCTTCTCTCTACCCAGCTTTAGTGAGGAAACAGAATGATAATAATAAAAAAAAAATGTCAAATGTTTCTCTTTAAAAAATTAAGTAAAGCCAAAATTCACAAGATATTTGAGGAAAACAATTTGTGTGTCAAAGAGCAAGATGAACAAAGGAATTGAGCTCAGATAATGCAGAGGACAGCAGAGAACTTTAAGAAAATTATCATTGTAAGTTCACGGGGACAGAGAATGATAGGTGCATAACATAAGAATAGGCTGCTATGAACAGGAGTAGTCAGAGAATAAGAAATAATGCTTAGCAATTAAAATTGTGATACTCTAATACAGAATTAAAAAAACTCATAGGACATCAACTAAGCTGCTCTTCTGGGGAAAAAAAGTAGAGCAAACCTTTATAGCTTATAATAAAGACAGAGATGAAAAATATGAGAGCAAAGTAGTGAAATGGTGAATTGACTGAATAATCAACAGTCTTCTAATGGAACTTCAAAATTATAAAGAATAGAAAACCATTTTATGTGAGTCTTAGGGTTGATATAATTCACTGGAATTGATTGGAATGAGTGGACAAGAAGACCCACACCTAAATCTATCTTGGTGAAATACCAGAACACCTAGAATTAAAAAAAAAAAAAATTTAAAGAGTTCCAGAAAGAAAAGAGTTAGTTCCAGGCCAGGTGCCGTGGCTCATGCCTGTAATCTCAACACTTGGGAGGCCAAGACAGACAGATCAATGGAGGTCAGGAGTTTGAGACCAGCCTGACCCACATGGTGAAGCCTTTTCTCTACTAAACATACGAAAGAAAAATTAGCCAGGCGTAGTGGCACAGGCCTGTAATCTTGAGTACTTGAGAGGCTGAGGCAGGAGAATCGCTTGAACCTGGGAGGTAGAAGTTATGGTGAGTCAAGATCGTGCCGCTGCACTCCAGCCTGGGCGACAGAGTGAGACTCTGACTCAAAAATAAAAAGAGTTCCAGAAAGAGTAAATGGGCTGGCTGTCTTACGAGGGGACGAGAATCCGTTCTTAGCCTCAATTCTAATTAGTGGATGTAAACAAGGTAATGTCTTCCTAGTTTGGAAGCAGATTAATTTGGAAAAAGAATTCTATACCTAGCCTTTTTCAGATATGAACTCAGAAGTTCTATTTCCTTCATATTACATATTTTTAAAAGTTACTTGAATAAATTCTGAAACAGGAAAGTACACAATAGAAGTTATAAATAGAATATGGTAGGAGAGTTGAAATCACAGAAGTTATGCAAGCTAAAAGAAAGTTTTTAAAAATCACTGCTTTGGGAAAATCTACTTTACAGCTGCGAAGTAAAGAGACATGGAGTTTGCATGTCTTTCTCTGGGGCAGCCATAATCACAACTTTATAGCTACATTTTAGAGGGTTTAAAATTTTAATTTTAGACAAGAATAGCAAACTTAATTATTGTTACATCACAGATTGTAAATGTTGAAAATCACAATAAAAGTAATGAAGTAAAGGTAATGAAACAAACTAAAATTAGAAGTTTAAGAGTGAGAAAGTTGAATGGTATTGTGAGTGTGCTAAATGCTTAGTCTTTATTTCATGGAATCCACTGCTATTTTCTATAATTCATAAATCAAAAACATAAAAATGGAAGCCACCTGAGGAATTAAAGAAGCAGAGGTTTTCAAAAGAATTTTCTCTGCAAATTGAAAATAATCAACTAGTAGGGAAATTTTTGTCATTTTAGACCATGCTGAATGGTTTGCATTATTTTCTTTGTTACAAATGTTGTTTAATTTTTTTGTCGCTTCTTCTTAAAATGAAAGAAATATTTCCATAATAAAAATGTCATGCATAATGTTCCAATTAGGTAAAATATGGATGACTATGTAGATTGGCATAGAGGCTTGTGAAAGGGTGTTCATCACAATATTAATGGTGGTTATTTTAGGTGGTGTGAAAGGTGTATTTTATTCTAGTATACTTCTCAGTATGGTTTAAATGTTTTACAGTAAATATGCATTACTTAAGCAAGAAAAAGTAAACCAATATGTGTTGAGAAGAAAAGTTATACTAGTGAAGTAGGAGGACTTTTGAGAAGGAAAGTCATTACTTTGACCTTACCAGTCCCTTAAAAATCTAATTTCTTTTCCTGCAAGGACCTAATACTAGCCTAATATTTTATGGTTTGCTATTATTAACAGGTTTTAGTGTGTAATGTGAAAAGCAATGGAAGTTACATTGAAACTTTGTTTCCTGTTCCTTTATGAGCCGCAGCTCAGTCTGTCACTCAGGCTGGAGTGCAGTGGTACAATCTCAGCTCACTGCAGCCTCCGCCTCCTGGGTTCAAGCAATTCTCCTGCCTCAGTCTCCAGAGTAGCTGGAATTACAGATGTCCACCACCATGCCCAGCTAATTTTTGTATTTTTAACAGAGACAGGGTTTCACCACGTTGCCCAGGCTGGTCTCAAACTCTTCACCTCAAGTGATCCACCCACCTCGGCCTCCCAAAGTGCTGGGATTACAGGTGTGAGCTACCACGCCCAGCCCAAGACTTTTTTCTTAATACAGCATCTTTCCAACTTTTCCCCCCTACTTCAGAGGGGATTTTGCCCATCCAAAAAAATTACAGCAGCAACCTTTAATGCTTATTCTTAAAAGTAGGTTTCATCAGTTGAGAGAAAATTGTGCACAAGAGCAGTATGTGAATGTTTAATTCTGCATAGATGGCTTTATTCTGAATTATTTGAGTCATTATATAGTAGGTATATTGCCACCTTTTCACTTTGGGAATTTCTTGGGACATTATGATTAGCAGTTTTTAGAGTTTAACCATTTTAGTCACTTCAGGAGAGATTTACCTTGAAGCTTCCAGAAACCTGAATATAGAAAGAATAGACCCTCTGTGACTAACGCTGCTGCCAACTTGATAGCCAGTCATCATTCTCAGGTGACACTAAAGACGTTAAAGAACATTTTAATGAAGGATTGAAGTCTCATAACTGCATTTGTTTTTGTCTGGTGACTTCGATGAGGAAAGATTTCTGTATGACTCAACATTCTACCTTCGTTTTTGATACCTTCTTTTCCAGATGATAAAGCCTCTTAATTAGGACTCAGCAAACCTCTTCTGTAAAAAGCCGTATAGTAGATATTTAGGCTTTGGAGCCCATAGGATCTCTGTTGCAGCCACTCATCTCTGCCGTGGTAGAGTGAAAGCCACCAAAGAAAATATGTAAACGAACGAGTGTTGTTACAGCAGAACTGTAGTTACAACAGCAGGCCCAGAATGGCCTGCCACTCACCAAGCTCTTCTCTTTAGTCTTCTTTCTCACCCTAAAAAAAAAAGAAGGAAAAAAGGGGGGTGCAGAGAGAAAAGAAAGTAAGAATGTCTTCAACAGGAAGTTGGGAAAAGTAAAAAAAGAGAAAGGAGGGGAAGGGAGGGAAAGGAAGAAGGAAGGAAGAAGCTTTACTGCTTAGAGCCGTTTGCTTGGTGTTTCTCTTTCATGTGCACAGTTTTACATTTGCGGTCCTAACTTCCTTGTTATACACTCACTTTGCAATGTTTTGAAACAGGGCCTCTGTCCCTCTTTACCGAAATGGCTCTTGCATTGATTTCTGTGTCACATAGTGTTGGGGCCTTTTCTCCTTCTTCATCTCTTGATGAAGGAGGCAGAATAGTGTAGTTAAGAACTTGGGCTCCCAAGTCTGATGACCCCAAACATAAATCCAGGCTCTGCCGTTCCCTCTCTGTGTGAACTTACGTTAGTCACTTACCAACCTCTTTAAGCCTCAGTTTTTTCATCTGTTTATTGGGCGTGATAATGCCACACATCTATGAAGGTGCTGTAAAGAGTAACTGAGATGGCCGGGCACGGTGGCCCAAGCCTGTAATCCCAGCACTTTGGGAGGCCGAGGCAGGTGGATCACGAGGTCAAGAGATCGAGACCATCCTGGTCAACATGGTGAAACCCCGTCTCTACTAAAAATACAAAAAA